TCTCTCTCCCTTTTTCTTTCCTTCCTTTCCTTTCTCTCCCTTTTCCTTTTCCTTTTCCTTCCTTCCTTCCTTCCTTCCTTCCTTCCTTCCTTCCTTCCTTCCTTCCTTCCTTCCTTCCTTCCTTCCTCCGTGCATCTGACTGTCAGGTGTGCTTGTTTGACACTTGTGACCTCTAGCTAAAAACCGGCTCACCCAAGAACTGCTCCGGCAGGTCAGCACTAACTTTCCCTTCTCCCTTACCGATCTGCGATTTTCTGGTGGTGTCCTGTCCTAAGAATAACCAAACCAGTAGACTTTGCCTACTTGAGTGACCTCTTCAGGGTTTTAGGCGGTTAGTTTCATGGCAGCAGCCCGGAAATGGTCAGCCACGACCCTTCTGGGCGGCTTGCCTTCCCACGACGAGGTTCAGGGCTCGGCAGAGGTGCAAAAAAACCCCTTTTAAACGCATTTAAAAGGGGCAGAGTTGTTGGGAATCGGATGCTGGGCGCTGCAGCTTCCTTCCTGGTTGGGGGTGTCTGTTTGCAGACAGAGAAGCATTGTGGGGGGCCGGGGGGCAAAAGGGTCCGGCCCGGGACCTTCCCTCGGCGAAGTTCACGTGCCCTTCCGACAACCGTGGAAGGCAGCCTTGTCTTCTGCCGGGGGGGGGGGGAACGGGGAACGGACGGATGGATTTCACCAGCTCATCCCCCTTAAATCACCTCGCCCGGAATCGGCGGAGCAAATTGCTCTCAATTAGTAGCTGAAGTGAACCCAACTGCCCTCCCCCCTCCAGCCGGGATCCTCCCCCTCCCCTCTCCGCGCCCCCCTCCCGGGGGGGGCAGGGATCTGATTTCACGGGAGATGTTTTAAGCCGGAGGCAAAATTGATGGCGAGAACAATGTAGATATTGATGGCTCTCTAGGGATGCCTCTGCAGGACGCGCCCCCCCCACCCCCCCGGGCAGGTGTCGCGATCTGCGCCCCCCCCCAACGAGCACACAATCACAGACAGACGCGCGCCTTTCTAGGATGCCCCAAAGCAGGGACTCCTGCTTGAGCAGGGGGCTGGACTAGAAGACCTCCAAGGTCCCTTCCAGCTGTGTTCTGAGACTGATTTTCTGATTCCTGCTCCTGGGCGAGGGTCTCCGGAAAGACTGGGTCTGGCTGGGGTGTGTGTGTGTGTGTGTGTGTGTGTGTGTGTGTGTGTGTGTGTGTGTGTTTCCACAGAGCCAGCGGGCGTCCAGGCCCTTCCTGCCTCCCCCTTTCCTCATGTAGCCGGGAGTTCCGCAGGGGAAAGGAGTTGCGGCGCCGGCGGGGAGCGAGGGCAGCGCAGCCGGGCGGGCGGGCGAAGCGCAGTCCCCGGGGAGCGCGATCCTTGATTAATTCGCCCGTCTAGACAGCGGCGGCGACGGCGGCGGCGGCTTATCGGCTCTGGCATCGCCTCTCCCAGCCAGACCGCGGCGGGGGAAGACGGGGGTTCCCCCCCCCCCCGGATCCGGGGATTGACCTGACTCCCACCGGAGGGGGAGCTTCCCCCCTGCCTCAGCCTGGCCAGGGGTCTCGGGGGTGATCTGGTAGGGCGTGGAGTTGGGGGGGGGGTCCAAGGCAGGAATAGCCCCAGGCTCTCAGCCACCCCCTCTCCAGGGGCACAATGCGGGGGGGGGGCGGCTGGCAGCTCCCATGAAAAGGGGGGAGCTCTTTTCAGGGCAAAACCTCCACCTTGCTAGCCAGGTAGAAGCTCTGAATAGGACTTTAGGCAAGGCTCTCAAAACTTTGGCAACTTTAAGCCCGGTGGTCTTCAATTCCCAGAATTCCCCAGCCAGCCCTGTCCGCAAGGCTGAAAGTTGTCAAAGTTGGGAGGATCCAGCTTAGCTTCTCCCCCATCAGTTTTTCTCCTAGGCCACCCTACTTTCACCCCAAAAAATCCCAATATTTTGGTGGGGGGTAGCAGCCTTTCTACATTAAGGAAAAAGATTTTGGGGCAAAGGATAAGCAGAAAAACCGTGCCCCCTCCCCAGAAGCCTTATGGAGTCGCTCTTCTGCACTGGCCTCGTTGAAATTTCAGCCACGGGGCAAATAGTTATAAATATGTAAGCTCTACATTCCACTTTTCCATGGGACAAGGATGCTCGGAAGTGTTCCTTTGTTGTTATTGTTGTTGTTAATTGCGAAGTCGTGTCCGACCCATCGCGATCCCATGGACAACGTTCCTCCAGGTCTTCCTGTCCTCTACCATCTTCTGGAGTCCATTTAAGCTCACGCCTGCTGCTTCAGTGACTCCATCCAGCCATCTCATTCTCTGTCGTCCCCTTCTTCTATTGCCCTCCATCTTTCCCAGCATCAGGCTCTTCTCCAGTGAGTCCTTCCTTCTCATTAGGTGGCCAAAGTCCTTGAGTTTCAGCTTCAGGATCTGGCCTTCTAAAGAGCAGTCGGGGTTGATCTCTTCTAGGACTGACCAGTTTGAACGCCTTACAGTCCAAGGGACTCACAGGAGTCTTCTCCAGCTAGCAGTAATTAAATGGAGGAAGAAACGGGACGGGACGTATTATACATCATTCAATGAGGTGCCACTAGAACAGGGGTAGGCAGAGCCAAGGTTGCCTACCCCTGCACTAGAATAAGTTGTTTCTGATCTTTGGACTGACAACTAGAGGTGGGGAGGGGGGCTGAGACCCATGGCACTTGCAATGGAGGTTTATTCCAGTTTGGGACTGGCCTCTCACAACCGTCTGCCTTTAAGATGCAGAGAAAGTCTTTCTGGAAAAGAATATGGGGGTCTCGGCCCCAACCCAATGTGCTAGTTTATCTGATCTTAGGAAAGAGTCAGTCCGTGTGAAATCACACTGTCTCCTCTGGGAAGAACAGTGACACCAATGATGAAGGAGAAGGAAAATGAAAAATGATCAAGAATGATCCCCAAAGAAGCATCTACCCCATTTTGGGCAATACAAGGCCATACTTGCTTTCTGAGGAGAACAACCTCTTTAGCAGGGCTTTTCAACCAGCGGTACAGGTACCACCTGTGGTACATTGGCACCTGGCAGGTGGTACGCGACCATCCTAGAAAAGTGGTAGTGGGGAGGGGCAGCACTGCACAAGCCTGAGTGAGAGATGGCTGGAGCTGCAGGGCTGTCAGGGCTCAACAGAAGCACCAGGATCAGCGCTTCTTTGGGGCTGTCAGGGCTCAGTGGAAATGCCAGGATCAGTGCCAGGCTCCAGCTGGAGCTCGGCACTGATCCTGACGCTTCTGCTGAGCCCAGAAGAAGCACCGATCAGCTGGAATGTTGCAGCGTCTCCAGGGTCTTGTGATTTACATTCAGATACTTGGCAACTGATTCATATTTATGACGGTCACAGTGTCCCAGGGTCATGTGAAGTGACCAAAACCTGATGCAACTACCCACCAGACGGGAGGAATAAAAACCAAACACCCCCACCCCACCCCCTGCTGCCAATCCTCAACAGAAATGGTCACAACAATGAAAACCTCGGACAGGAGGAAGAGCGCCGCCGGGCGGGCAGGCAGGTGTCTTGCTCGGCTGTGGCTCGGGGGGGGGCACTTTTTTCAGTGCCATTGTAACTTCGAATAGTCACTAAGCGAACTGTTGTAAGTCGAGGACTACCTGTACTTTATCACTTTTTTCCTTTTTTGGGGGGGGGTCGTCAAGTTTTTGACACCTTTCTAGGCAACTGGTGGTACTCGGATGTTGCCGTATCCTAAAAGTGGCACAATGGGTGAAAAGGTTGAAAAGCCCTGCTCTATAGGACTTACATTAGGTAGACCTTGCAGAAGGGCTTCCAGGAGAAACATCTGCCTGGGTTTGGTTCCTGACTCTGGAGGATGGGACACTTGTTATCTCAACACTACTTCTAGATAATCTCTTCCGGCGTGATGCTTCCAGATGTTTGGTCCTCAACACCTTTCACCCCTAGTTACCATGATTATTATAGGAACTCAAGTCCAACTCTTGAGGAGGGAGCAAACTGGAAAGGAGGGCTTATAGGATATCTGCTAGAAGAGAGGAAAATCCCTATTTATTTGGCCAAAAAAGCCTTCTGGGTAAACGTTAGATGTGGCAATCCGACTCTTTCAATTTAGTGCAGTGGTTCTCAACCTTTTTAATGCCGCGACCCCCAACCGGTCGTAAGTCGAGGACTACCCAACCGGTCGTAAGTCAAGGACTACTCAACAGGTGCAGCACCGTTTGCAGACTGGGATTTTTGGCGGGCTCAGCAGGGCAGAGACAGCCTTACCGTTCCTGTTGGCTTTTGAAAGCCAATAGAATTAGACTCTATTCAAGAGAGTCTCTTCTATTGGCTTTCAAAAGCCAATAGAATAAAAGGGAGGAGCACAGCTAAGGAAAAGGGGGGAAAAAATGGCGGACTGCTTTGTTTGGCGACCCCGGTGAAATGGTCGTTCGACCCCAAATGGGGTCCCGACCCACAGGTTGAGAACCACTGGATTAGGGGACTGGAGGGTAAAGCATACAAGGAACGGTTGCTGGAATTGGGGATGTCCAGTTGAATGAAGAGAAGGACGAGGGGGACATGATAGCAGTCTTCCAGTCTTTGAGGGGCTCCTACAAAGATGAGAGGGTCAGACTACTTTCTAAAGCCCCCAAAGGCAAGACGAGAAACAATGGATGGAAACTGACCAACAACCTAGACGTAAGGAAATGTTTCCTAATGGTGAGAGCAATCAACAGCTTGTCTTCAGAAGTAGTCCATGCTCCATCACTGGATGCTTTCAAAAAGAGACTGGAAAACCATTTGTCTGAAACGGTATAGGACAGGGGTCTTCAAACGTGGCCCTTTTATGACTTGTGGACTTCAACCTCCAGAATTCCTCAGCCAGGCGTGCCTGGCTGAGGAATTCTGGGAGTTGAAGTCCACAAGTCATAGAAGGGCCAAGTTTGAAAACCCCTGCTCTAGGATCTCCTGCCTGAGAAGTGGGGTGGACTAGAAGACCTCCAAGGTCCCTTCCAACTCTACCATTCTATGTTTCACAGTGCAAATCCCTGATCCCTCCTGTCCATCCAGGTGTATTATTCCATCGGGGCCCTGGCCAAGTCCGTGTATGAGAAGATGTTCAGCTGGATGGTGGTCAGGATCAATAACTCTTTGGAGACCAAGCAGCCTCGGCAGTATTTCATCGGCGTCTTGGACATTGCAGGATTTGAGATCTTCGATGTAAGTCTACAGAGAGCAGGGGGAGACCCATGTAACCTATAGTGGTGGGTTGACTTTGGGTTGTCCTTCCTTCCTTCCTTCCTTCCTTCCTTCCTTCCTTCCTTCCTTCCTTCCTTCCTTCCTTCCTTCCTTCCTTCCTCCCTCCCTCCCTTCCTTCCTTCCTCCCTCCCTTCCTTCCTTTGTTCCTCCCTCCCTCCCTTCCACTCACTCACACACTCACTCACTCTCTCACCCATCCATCCACCCACCTACCCACCCACCCACCCACCCATCCATTCTTCCATTTCCTTCCCTTCCTTCCTTCTTCCTTCCTTTGTTCCTTCCTCCCTTTGTTCCTTCCTTCCTCCCTCCCTCCCTGCCACACATCCATCCATCCATCCATCCATCAATCCATCCATCTTTCCTTCCTTCCTTCCTTCTTTTGTTCCTTCCTTTCTTTGTTCCTTCCTCCCTATCTTCCTTCCATTCATTCACTCACTCACTCACCCATCCTTCCTTCCTTTATTCCTTCCTTCCTCCTTCACTCCCTCTCTTCCACTCACTCACTCATTCACTCAACCCATCCATCCTTCTTTCCCTTCCTTCCTTCTTTCCTTTATTCTTCCTTTATTCCTTCCTCCATCCCTCTCTTCCACTCACTCACCCATCCACCCACCCACCCACCCACCCATCCATCCATGCATCCTTCCATCTTTCCTTCCTTCCATCTTTCCTTCCTTCCTTCTCTCCCTCCCTCCCTCCCTCCCTCCTTCCTCCCTCCCTCCCTCCATCCCTTCCTTCCTTCCTTCCTTCCTTCCTTCCTTCCTTCCTTCCTTCCTTCCTTCCTTCCCCAGGAGCCTTGACCTAACTGACAGTGGTCCCTGCTGAAAAACGAAAAAAAGTCGGATCTTCTGGAAATGCTCACCTGCACGAAGGTCCATAACTTCTTTTCCCCTCCCCCCCAGTTCAACAGCTTTGAGCAGCTCTGCATCAACTTCACCAACGAGAAGCTGCAGCAGTTCTTCAACCACCACATGTTTGTGCTGGAACAAGAGGAGTACAAGAAGGAGGGCATCGAATGGGTCTTCATTGACTTCGGCATGGACCTCCAGGCCTGCATTGACCTCATTGAGAAGGTAAGTTGGTGGCGGAGCAGTTAGAGTGCAGTACTGCAGGCCACTTTAGCTGACTATGTTCAGCAGGTCAGCGGTTCAAATCTCACCGGCTCAGGGTTGACTCAGCCTTCCATCCTTCCGGGGTAGGTAAAATGAGGACCCAGAAGTGTTCATACCACTTTACAACGCCTTAGTTGTAAAATGGGGGCAATGTAAATATATATATATATATATATATATATATATATATATATATATATATATACACATACATACATACATACATACATACATACATACAACATATACATATACATAATACATATACATATACATATTACATATACATATACATATACATATACATATATATATATATATATATATATATATATATATATATATGTCTCATAAATAAATAAATAAACCGGGGAAACCTCATATTGTTTCTTCCTCAAAGCAAAGTACCTCAGATGAACTTCCCCGGATAAAAGTTGGATTATTGGGAGCTGAACAACCTCTTGATCATTTGGGAGCAGAAGAAAGAGGATTCAGATTCTAGGAAGATCTGATTCTTCTGGTTTAACAGCATAGCAGAGTTAAACCTTGGAGGTCATCTAGTTCAATCCCCAATCAGTCCAATCTCTTCTTAAAAGGAGGAGGAGGAGGAGGAATTACAGAGCTGGAAGGGACCTTGGAGGTCATCTAGTCCAACCCCCTGCGCAAGCAGGAGACCTTATACTATTTCAAACAGATGGTTGTCCAATCTCTTCTTAAAAACCTCCAGTGCTGGAGCGCCCACAACTTCTGGTTAGACTGTGAATATAAGAAGTGGATGATAATTCCTTGGTAAGGCCACACTTGGAATACTGCATCCAGTTTTGGTCACCACGATGTAAAAAAGATGTTGAGACTCTAGAAAGAGTACAGACAAGAGCAACCAAGATGATCAGGGGACTGGAGGCTAAAACATACAAGGAAAGGCTGCTGGAATTGGGGCTGTCTAGTTTAACGAAGAGAAGGGCGAGGGGGGACATGATAGCAGCCTTCCAGTATCTCAGGGGCTGCCCCAAAGAAGAGGGAGTCAAGCTATTCTCCAAAGCGCCTGAAGGCAGGACAAGAAGCAACGGATGGAAACTAATCAAGGAGAGAAGCAACCTAGAACTAAGGAGAAACTTCCTGACAGTTAGAACAATTAACCAGTGGAACAACCTGCCTCCAGAAGCGTGAATGCTCCAACACTGGAAGTTTTTAAGAAGAGACTGGACAGCCATTTGTCTGAAATGGTATAGGGTTTCCTGCCTGAGCAGGGGGTTGGACTAGATGACCTTCCAACTTTATTATTATTATTACTGTCAGAAAATTTCTCCTTACTTCTAGGTTGCTTTTCTCCTTGGTTAGTTTCCATCCGTCGCTTCTTGTCTTGCCTTCTTGTTGCTTCTTGTCCTGCCTTCAGGCGCTTTGACTCCCTCTTCTTTGGGGCAGCCCCTGAGACACTGCTATCCTGTCCCCCCTCGTCCTTCTCTTCATTAAACTAGACATACTAAATTCCAGCAACCGTTCCTTCTATGTCTTAGCCTCAACATCTTTTTTACATCATGGTGACCAAAACTAGATGCCGTATTCCAAGTGTGGCCTTATTAAGGCGTTGTAAAGTGGTATGAACACTTCAGGCGTTGTAAAGCGGTATTAACGCTTCAGGTGATCTTGATTCTATCCCCCCGTTAATGCAGCCTAGGACTGTGTTGTCTTTTTTGGCAGCCATCCTTTCTGTCCTCATCGTTGTCCCTTTTCTCTCCATCTTTCGGTGCAGCCTCTGGGTATTATGTCCATCCTGGAAGAAGAGTGCATGTTCCCCAAGGCCAGCGACATGACCTTCAAGGCCAAACTCTACGATAACCACCTGGGCAAGTCCTCCAACTTCGGAAAAGCCCGCAACACCAAGGGGAAGCCGGAGGCTCACTTTGCCCTGATGCACTATGCTGGCACCGTGGACTACAACATCAACGGGTGGTTGGAGAAGAACAAAGACCCCCTGAACGATACCGTGGTGGCCCTCTACCAGAAGTCCGCCCTGAAGCTGCTGGCCACGCTCTTCTCCACCTACACGGGCAGCGAGGCGGGTGAGATGGGGAGGGAAGAGAGAATTTGGTCCCGGTTGGCTTGAACCTTCTGCATCTCCAGGGTGGTCTTGATCTGAAGATGCTCCAGAAATGACCATCTGATGATCTCTTGGAGAGCTGACGTTAATGCGACTTGGGAAAATAAGAGTTGGGGTGACCGGCATTCGGGGTGGATGAAGGTGCTCTTTGCTCACCAGCGTCCACAGCTGGGGTCCAATGGGTCTTATCTTCTGGGGTTGAGGGCCCTCACCATCTTGGGAAGGTCCTGGAGAAGGCAAAGAGGACAATTGGGAGAGATGGAACCCACAAAGGGGTGGAATCTACTGTAATTTAGAAAGCTACACATCAGGAATGAGGGAGGGAGGGAGGGAGGGAGGAAGGAAGGGAATAGAAAAAAGGAAAGGAAAGGAAGAGAGAAAAAGGAAAGGAAGAGAGAAAAAGGAAAGAAGAGAGAAAAAGGAAAGGAAAGGAAAGGAAGAGAGAAAAAGGAAAGGAAGAGAGAAAAAGGAAAGAAGAGAGAAAAAGGAAAGGAAAGGAAGAGAGAAAAAGGAAAGGAAAGGAAGAGAAAAAGGAAAGGAAGAGAAAAAGAAAAGGAAGAGAGAAAAAGGAAAGGAAAAGAAGAGAGAAAAAGGAAAAGACGAGAGAAAAAGGAAAGGAAGAGAGAAAAAGGAAAGGAAGAGAGAAAATGGAGATAGAAAAAGGAAAGGAAAAGAAGAGAGAAAAAGGAAAGGAAGAGAGAAAAAGGAAAGGAAGAGAGAAAATGGAGATAGAAAAAGGAAAGGAAAGGAAGAGAGAAAAAGGAAAGGAAGAGAGAAAAAGGCAAGGAAAGGAAGAGAGAAAAAGTAAAGGAAGAGAGAAAATGGAGATAGAAAAGGAAAGGAAAGGAAAGGAAGAGAGAAAAAGGAAAGGAAGAGAGAAAAAGGAAAGAAAAAGAAGAGAGAAAAAGGAAAGGAAGAGAGAAAAAGGAAAGGAAAGGAAGAGAGAAAAAGGAAAGGGAAAGAAAGGAAAGAAGAAAAACAGAAAAGAGGAAAGGAAAGGTTGTAAGTATGAGGACTAGTTGTCGGTCCCTTTTCTCAGGGCCGTCATAATTGTGGTCGCTAAACAAACAGTCGTAAGTCGAGGACTCCCTGGACTTGTGCCGCTGGGAGATCCTCCGGGCCTCACCCTTCTTTCCTTCCCCAGGCGGAGAGGGCGGGAAGGGCAAAGGCTCCAAGAAGAAAGGCTCCTCCTTCCAGACCGTCTCAGCGCTACACCGGGTAGGAGACCGGACCCCCCTACTCCCCCCCCCGGACGAGGAGGATGGGTTCTAGGCTTCCCAGGGGGAGGAGCTGGGAGTCAGGGATTGGGAGCTGGCTAGAAGCCGCAGCAGGGGCTTTTGGGACAGGGTTGAGAGCGGGGGGGGTCCCAACATGGCGTGCTGGCTGGGGAATTCTGGGAGTTGGGGGTCCGTACAGCTCAGTGGGGAAAGACTGGCTTAGAGCTTACTGGGGTTTGCCAAGAGAAACATAATGAACATTTCTCTCTCTCCTCTCTGTCCCTCTCCTCCTCTCTCTCTGTTTTTCCTTCCTTCCTTCCTTCCTTCCTTCCTTCCTTCCTTCCATCCTTCCCTCCATCCATCTCTCCTCTTTCTCCTTCCTTCCTCCATCTATCCATCCATTTCTCCTCTCCCTTGCTTCCCTTTGTCTCTCCCTCTTCTCTCCCTCCCTCTGTTGCTTCTCTCTCTCCTCTCCTCCTCTCTCTCCTTCCCTCCTTCCTCCCTCCCTGTCTCTCCTCTACTCTTTCCTTTCTTCCTTCCTCCATCCACCCATCCTTCATCCCTCCATCCATCTATCCATTTCTCCTCTTCCTTGTTTCCCTCTCCCTTTCTCTTTCCCTCTTCTCTCCCTCCCTCTGTTGCTTCTCTCTCTCCTCTCCCCTCCCTCCCTCCCTCCCTCTGTCTCTACTCCTCTTTCTTTCCTTCCTTCCCCTCTTCCCCTCTTCTCTCCCTCGGTTGCTCCTCTCTCCTCTTCTCTCTCCTTCCTCCCTGTCTCTCCTCTACTCCTCTTTCCTTCCTTCCTTCCTTCCTTCCTTCCTTCCTCCCTGTCTCTGTCTCTCCTCTACTCCTCTTTCCTTCCTTCCTTCCTCCACCCATCCTTCATCCATCCATCCATCCCTTTCTCCTCTCCCTTGCTTCCCTTTCTCTCTCCCTCTTCTCTCCCTCCCTCTGTTGCTTCTCTCTCTCCTCCTCTCCCCTCTTTCCTCTTCCTCCCTCTGTCTCTACTCTTTCCTTCCTTCCTTCCTTCCTACCCCTCTTCTCTTCTCCTCTTCTCTCCCTCGGTTGCTCCTCTCTCCTCTTCTCTCTCCTTCTCTCCTTCCTTCCTCCCTCCCTTGCTCCATCTCTCCTCTCTCCTTCCTCTGGCTCTCCTTCCCTCCTTCCTCCCTCCCTCTATCTCTTCCCCTCCCCTCCCTTCCCCGCCCTGCTCCCCTCCCTTCCTCCTCCTCCTCCTCCTCCTCATCCTCTCCTTTCTTCCTGCAGGAGAACCTCAACAAGTTGATGGCCAACCTCAAAACCACCCACCCTCATTTTGTGCGCTGCATCATCCCCAACGAACGGAAGGAGCCCGGTAATCCAGTGGGATGGAAAGGGATCCGCTGACGGGGCGGGAGAGCCAGGCCTTCAGATTGGGGAACTGGCAAGACTCCCGTCCCTTAACCGGCATCTCTGTCCTTGCCGGAGTCAGCTGGGCATCACGCTGCTCCTTCTCGTCTTCGTTTCCTGTTTGACAGCTGGCTGAGAGCCAGGAAGGAAACGGAGAAAGGAAGTCCTCCTTTCCTTCCTGGAAGTTCAAGGGCCGAGGGCCAGGGCGGGGGCCCGAGTTGCCGACCCCCGGCACCACAAATTGGATCCTTCCACAAAATTCAGAAAAACTGCGTGCATTTTACGGCAAGGCGGAAGGCGACACCTAGCAGGGAAATTCAGGTAGTCCTCGACGTACGACCGCAATTGAGGCCAGAATTTCTGTTAAGTGAGTTTGGCCCCATTTTACGAACTTTCTTGCCACAGTTGTTAAGGGAATCACTGCAGTTGTTAAGTTAGCAACAGGGTTGTTCAATGAATCTAGTTTCCGCCCATTGACGTCGCCGGTCAGAAGTTCGCAAAAGGGAGATCACGTGACCCCGGGACACTGAGGCCGTCGTAAATATGAGTCAGTTTCCAAGCATCTGAACTTTGATCCCGTGACCATGGAGGATGCTGCAACGGTCGTGTGAAAAATGGTCCTATCATTACTTTTTTGACGTTGTAATTTTGAACGGTCACTAAATGAAACTGTTGTAAGTTGAGGACTAGCTGCATCAGATCTCTAAAGATTGTGAACTGCAGAATTGCTCCCAGTTAGCGTAGCAATAGTCCCCCTTAACAACCGTTCATTTAGTGACCATTCAAAGTTACCACAGCACTGAAAAAAAGGGATTTATGTCCGTTTTTCACACTTACGACCCAAAATTCAGACACTTGGCAACTGACTCGTATTTATGACGGTTGCAGCGTCCCGGGATCACATGATCTCCTTTTGCGACCTTCAGATCAGCAAAGTCAATGGGGGGAAGCCAGATTCGCTTAACAACCGTGTCACTGACATAACAACTGCAGCGACTCACTTAACGACTGTGGCAAGCAAGGTCGCAAAATGGGGCAAAACTCAGTTAACGGCAATGGAAATTTGTGGCTCCAAAATTTGATTGGACGTGGAGGACTACCTGCCCGTTACAGCCGGTTGCATAATTCAGAACATTCCATTTCAGGGGTCCTCAACCTTGGCAAATTTAAGATTTGTGGACTTCAACTCCCAGAATTCCTCAGCCACAAGTCATAAAAGGGTCATAGTTCCCTCACGCTGGCTGAGGAATTCTGGGAGTTGAAGTCCACAAGTCATAAAAGGGTCACAGTTCCCTCACGCTGGATGAGGAATTCTGGGAGTTGAAGTCCACAAGCATGGGTCTTCAAAATAGGCCCTTTGATGACTTGTGGACTTCAACTCCCAGAATTCCTCAGCCAGGCACTCTGGCTGAGGAATTCTGGGAGTTGAAGTCCACAAGTCCACAAGTCTGAAGTTGAGGCCCCTGTTCTATTTCATTTCTTGACCATTGCCTATTGCACAAACCTCTCCTTTGTGGGTTTTTTATTTTTGTTTTTGTTATGCCCTTTGGGTTTAGTGTGGTTGTGTGAATCCAGACACTGGGCCAGGATGCATCTTTCCAAGGGGGGATAATCTTTTAATTTTCCCTCCTTTCTTAGTGTCTCCTTTTCTTTCTTAGGTATAATGGACAACCCTTTGGTCATGCACCAGTTACGCTGCAATGGCGTCCTGGAGGGGATCCGGATCTGTCGGAAAGGATTCCCCAACCGGATCCTCTACGGGGACTTCAGGCAAAGGTGAATCCACTCCCCTGCTGTTCAGAAAGGATCTTTTGGGGAGGTTCAGCTCAGCCTGCCTAACAGAAAGAGAATGAAGATCATGGGATGGGTTAAGGCAGGGGTAGGCAACCTTGGCTCTTTTATGACTCGTGGACTTCAACTCCCAGAATTCCTGAGCCAGCATGAGGGAAACTTTGGCCCCTTCATGACTCGTGAACATCAACTCCCAGAATTCCTGAGCCAGCATGAGGGAAACTTTGGCCCCTTCATGACTCGTGGACTTCAACTCCCAGAATTCCCGAGCCAGCATGAGGGAAACTTTGGCCCCTTCATGACTCGTGGACTTCAACTCCCAGAATTCCTGAGCCAGCATGAGGGAAACTTTGGCCCCTTCATGACTCGTGGACTTCAACTCCCAGAATTCCTGAGCCAGCATGAGGGAAACTTTGGCCCCTTCATGACTCGTGGACATCAACTCCCAGAATTCCTGAGGAAGCATGAGGGAAACTTTGGCCCCTTCATGACTCGTGGACTTCAACTCCCAGAATTCCTGAGCCAGCCTAGCTCAGCTTGGAAACCTCTCCCTTTCCCCTCAGCATGGCTGGCTCAGGAATTCTGGGAGTTGAAGTCCACCAGTCATAAAAGAGCCGAGGTTGCCTACCCCTGGGTTAAGGCCACTTGATGAGACCTTATCAAAGAAACAGAATACTTTCAGATATGGAACTTATTTTATCAATGGCTGGAAAAAAACGAGACAGAGAGTAGCAACTTAACTTTTAGGACTAAGCAAACAAAAATCAATCTAGACGACACGGCCTTCATTAAGCACTAATGAATTGTAATAATAGAAAATTAATAAAATACTTTTTAAAAAAGACCACAGGTAGTGCAGGAGACCTTATACTATTTCAGACAAATGGCTGTCCAATCACTTCTTAAAAACCTCCAGTGAGGGAGCACAAACAACTTCCGGTGGCAAGCAGTTCCACTGGTTAATTGTCTTCATTGTTAGGACGTTTCCCCTCAGTTCCAGGTTGCTTCTCTCCTTGATTAGTTTCCATGCGTTGCTTCTTGTCCTGCCGTCAGGTACTTTGGAGAATAGGTGGGAAACACCCCCCCCTTCTTTGGGGTTAACCTTGAGCAGGAAAATTCAGCCAATTCTCTACTTTCGCACCAGGTACCGCATCTTAAACCCTGCGTCCATCCCGGAGGGACAGTTCATCGACAGCCGGAAAGGGGCCGAGAAGCTTCTGAGCTCCCTGGACATTGACCACAACCAGTACAAATTTGGACACACCAAGGTGAGGCGAGCAAATTTGGAATGGGGGGGAGTCCTATGCTCCCCCTCCTCCGCTTTTCCCTTAAGGACCCCAAGGAAAGAAACTTCAGCTTTTGAGGATAAAACCAGCAGGGCTGTTTTGACCTTGGAAAGGGGGAGATTGTAGGATTCGGATTTTGCACGCTCCCGTTAAGGGCCCCTAAAAGAGACTTTGCTAATTCCCTATTGATCCGGAAGGAAATGCACGTTTATGGTGCTAAGCCAGGGGTAGGCAACCTTGGCTCTTTTATGACGTGTTCAGCTCCCAGAATTTCTGAACCAGCATGGGGGAAACTTTGGACCCTTCATGACTCGTGGACTTCAACTCCCAGAATTCCTGAGCCAGCATGGGGGAAACTTTGGCCCCTTCATGACTCATGGACTTCAACTCCCAGAATTCCTGAGCCAGCATGGGTCAGCTTGGAAACCTCTCCCTTTCTCCTCAGCGTGGCTGGCTCAGGGATTCTGGGAGTTGAAGTCTACGAGTCGTGAAAGAGCCAAGGTGGCCTACCCCTGTGCTAAGTGAAATGTGTGTTAAGTGAGCCTTCCCCCCCCCCCATTTTATGACTTTTCTTGCCACGGTTGTTAAGTGAATCATTGCAGTTGTTAAATTAGTAACACGGTTGTTAAGTGAATCTTGATTCCTCGTTGGCTTTTCCTGCAGAAGGGGAATCACGTAACCCTGGGACAGTGCAACCGTCATAAATACCTGCCAGTTTCCAAGCGTCCAATTTTGGATCACGTGACCGCGGAGGGGGGTGCAACGGTTGTAAGTGTGAAAAACGGTCATACGTCACTTTTTTCCAGTGCCGTTGTGACTGCGAATGGTCACCAAATGAATTGTTGTAAATCAAGGACTGCTTAAACAAAAACATGGTTGTAAGATCCACTTGTCAAACGGATTTAATATAAGGCAAACACTAGCAATAGAAAACAATCTAACCAACATCCTAAACTTCAAAAAAGCCGACTTTAACAAACTCAGAGAGAACCTAGGAAAAATTCCCATGGATGAAAATCCTAAAGGGGAAAACAACCCAGAAAGCGTGGGAAATCCTGAAAAATGCGATCATAAAAGCCCAGACCAGCGCAATACCACTGAGAAAGAAAAACAAGAAATCCAAGAAGAAACCAGCATGGCTGCACAAAGATCTCTCTAACAAACTAAAAGACAAAAAGGACAAATACAAAAAATGGAAAGAGGGGGCACATAACCAAGGCCAATTATCATGCACCTATTTTTATATTTATGTCTATATAGAAACCATATAAAATACTCTTACATTTTTATCCGAGTCTTTGTAACCTTTGGAGGAGGAGTGGCCAACCTTGGCAACTTTAAGCTTTGTGGACTTCAACTCCCAGAATTCCCCAGCCTGCAGGGGAATTCTGGGAGTTGAAGTCCACGCATCTTAACATAGCCCACCTGGAGAAACTCTGTTTTTAAAGTCACCGCTGTGCAAATGACAACAAAAAGGGAAATCCGTTTGACAAGTGGATCTTACAACCATGTTTTTGTGCAGGTTGTCCTCGACGACCGTTTTTCATACGTACGGCCATTGGAAGCATCCCCACGGTCACGTGATTGACATTCAGATGCTTGACAACCAGTGGTGGGATTCAGCTGGTTTGCACCGGTTCGGTAGAGCCAGTATCTGAATTTTGTTGAGTTTGGAGAACCGGCTGAACCCACGCTGCTTCTGGAAGTCTGTTCTAGGCCTTAGAGGCCTGAAGGAGGTCTCCCAGGCCTAGAACGGCCCATCGGAAGTGCATGGATGTCACACTGGAAGTTTTTAAGAAGAGACTGGACAGCCATTTGTCTGAAATGGTGTAGGATTCCTGCCTGAGCAGGGGGTTGGACTCGATGACCTCCAAGGTCCCTTCCAACATCATTATTATTATTATTATCGATCATCGCACAGTCAGCCAGATGTTCAGACTGGATTTGGCATTTTGTCTACCTATCGAGTCCTTACCCAGGACCTGGGATAGGCAGATGTGGATGTTTGATGGTATTACAGATATCGTCGCAGGATGGAAGCAGTTCCTAATAAGGCCTGCCTTTTGCAATTGACTAATAGCGAATTTGTCAATGCCAATGGTGTTCAAGTGGTGCTCCAGTTGTTTTGGGATTGCACCCAAGGAGCCTATTACTATTGGTACTACCCTTGCTTGCTTTTGCCACAGTCTTTCTATTTCTATTTGTAGGTCTTTGTATTTTGTTATCTTCTCCAGTTCTTTCTCTTCTATTCTGCTATCTCCAGGCACTGCCACGTCCACTATCCAGACTTTTTTGTCTTTCTTATCGACAATTGTTAAGTCTGGGGTGTTATGTTGCAGGTGCTTGTCTGTTTGAATTCTGAAGTCCCAGAGCAGTTTAATTTTATCATTTTCTATGACTTTCTCTATTTTATGATCCCACCAGTTTTTGCTTACAGGCAAATGATATTTTTTGCAGATCTTCCAATGCACCATTGTTGCTACTTTGTCATGCCGCTGCTTGTAATCAGTCTGTGCAATCTTCTTGCAACAGCTTACCAAGTGGTCCACTGTTTCTTCAGCTTCTTTGCATAGGCGGCACTTACTGTCTGTTGCTGTCTTCTCAATTTTGACTTTGTATGCATTTGTCCTTAAGGCTTGGTCTTGTGCAGCCAGAATTAGTCCCTCGGTCTCTTTCTTCAATTTTCCTGCTCTTAGCCATTGCCAGGTTTTATTATTATCTGCTTTCCCAGCTATTTTTTTTCATGTATTGGCATGTAGTGCTTTGTCTTCCCATGCCTCTATTCTGTTCTTCATTTGGTCTTTCTTGTAGGCCAGTTTGGTCTCTCCAGTAGTCAGTAAGCCTTCCTGATATACTAATTTCAGTGCATCTTCATCATTGTTCTTCAGATATTCTTCCAAAGCCATTTTTTCTTCTTCAACCATCTGATGTACTTGTAGCATTCCACGCCCACCTATTTGCCTTGGTAGATAAAGTCTATCAATGTCACTGCGTGGATGAAGGGCGTGATTCATTGTCATTATTTTTCTGGTCTTTCTATCCATTGCTTTTAGTTCTGCTTGAGTCCAGTCCACTATTCCAGCTGTGTACCTAATGACTGGGATTGCCCAGGTGTTGACTGCCTTTATGGTATTTCCTCCATTGAGTTTGGATTTTAAGATCTTCTTCACTCTCTTGATGTATTCACCTCTAATCTTTTTCTTGACTTCAGTGTGCTTGATGTTGTCAGCTTGAAGGATACCCAAGTATTTGTAGTACTCTTCCTCATCCAGACTCTTAATGTTATTTTCGTGGGGCATCTTGATTCCTTCAGTTTTCACTATTTTTCCTTGTTTGATAGTAAGTGTGGCACATTTGTCCAAGCCAAACTCCATTACAATATCTTGGCTATATATACGGACAGTGTTGAGCAGCGATTCTATTTCAGATGATGTTTTTCCATACAGCTTCAGATCATCCATATAAAGGAGGTGGGATAGTCTGGCAGATGTTTTTGATGTTTGATAGCCATGTCCTGAGTTATTCAGTATTGTTGACAGAGGAAACAGTGCAATAACAAATAGTAATGGTGATAATGAATCTCCTTGAAATATTCCTCTCTTGATATTAACCTCTCCCAGCCTCTCACCATTGATCTGCAACTGTGTCTTCCATTGTGCCATCGATCTTTGCACAAATTTTCTGATATTTCTACTGACTCCTGTTATTTCTAGGCACTTGATTATCCAATCATGTGGCAGAGAGTCAAATGCCTTTTTGTAGTCAATCCATGCCACATTCAGGTTGGTCTTCCTTCTCTTGCAGTTTTCCAAGATCATTTTGTCTATTAGGAGTTGATCTTTTGTTCCTCTGCTATTGTGGCGGTTTCCTTTCTGCTCAGGTGGAAAGAGATTGTTTTCAACTAGATGCTGTTGTACTGCATCAGCTACCACACCAGTTAGTAATTTGAAAGTTGTTGGTAAGCAGGTAATTGGCCTGTAGTTACCTGGTGTTGCCCCTTTTGCTGGATTTTTCATTATTAGGTAGGTTTTCCCAGTTGTTAGCCACTTTTCAATTTCTCCTCCTTGTAGTATATTGTTGAACTGCTTGGCAATGAGTGGGTGTATAACAGTTAGATGTTTCAACCAAAACCCATGCAGTTCATCTTCACCTGGTGCTGACCAATTTTTGATTTTCCTTGCTCTTTTTTTCTATCATTTTTGTTGTTATTACTAGTTCTTTCATTTCAACTTCTGTTTTATTTGCATCCACCTCTTTTAACCAAGCCGCATCCTTGTTGTATTTCTTTGGGTTATCCCATATCTGCTTCCAGAACTGCACTGTTTCTTCCTTGTCAGGTACTGACTGATTCCTTGCAGTTTCTCCATTGATGGATTGGTAGAAACGTTTCTGATTGGATTGAAATTGGAGGTTCTGCCTATAGTTTGCAATTCGAGCTTCATATCTACTGATTTTCCTGGCTATAGCTGTTATTTGTTGCTTTATTATTTCCAGTGCTTCCTTGATCTTCCTTGTTTCTAAGTGGTATTTCTTGATTAGGTATTCTTTGGTCTTCTTGTTCTTCAGCTTCTTTTCTTTCATCTGTTCTAGCTTGCTTGCATGTGATCTTAACTTGCTGATCTTATTTTCTAGTCTAACCTTCCATTTTTGTGGTGCACTGTTTGTTTTTCTTCTTTGTTGATTTTGCATCCCAGGTATTCAGTTATAACTGCAGCTGTGCTGTACATTAGTTGGTTTGTTTCTTGCAGTGAATTGGTGCTTATACTTGATATTGCAGTATTTGCATCTTTTAATGCTTGTGCTAGCTGTTTCTTTGGAACAAGCTTCAATGCAGGTAGCCTTATTCTGTTGTTTTTGTGCTGTTCTAGATGCTCAGTTATTCTTTGTTTCAATTCTTTTATTTCTTTAGTTAGAGGGTTTTGTTCTTCCTGAGGAAGAGGTGCCTGGTTTCCAAATGAGAACAGTTGTATATCTCTGCTAGATTCCTTCACTGCCAACTCCCCCTGGTTTGCCTCTACATTCTGAATTACTTCTGGTAAGGCTTTGATTTCTTTGCCCTGGGTAAACCTTTGCAGTTCGTCCAATTCTGTTTCTGTGAATACTTTATTTCGTGTTATAAATCGGCGTTGATCTGCTAGTCTCTGTTCTGTTATTTCTGATTCTGGATGTTGTTCTTTCCAGAACTGTGCATTCGTTTTAGATATCCTCTTCTTGTTGGACTTGATCTGTAGTAACAGATCATTATTTCTTTGTTTTCCATCACTGTGTATCTGCGACGGGTAAACACCTTTTCTTCCAGTAGTTCTGCAGCTGCTGGCCCTGGTTGCTCAGCCAACAGTCCTGAGTCCTGTAACCCATTTTTCACCAGATATCCAGGAACTCCAATATCTAGTGCGGACCTTGTTAACCCGGGCGACATCCGAGCCGGTATGGCATTCTGAAATTTACGTCTCACCATATTTTGTATGGGAGAGACACTCTTTGTCTGACTCCTCTGATGAGACCTGTCCAGTATGGTTGAACCTCTGGCATAGCTCTCATCTTCCTCAGAGTACACAAGCCCCACAACCACGTCAAGGTAGTGCCTCACTGGGGGTTTATTATTATTATTATTATTATTATTATTTATTATCATTATTATTATTATGGATCCTCGCACAGTCAGCCAGATGTTCAGACTGGATTTGGCATTTTGTCTACCTATCGAGTCCTTACCCAGGACCTGGGATAGGCAGATGTGGATGTTTGATGGTATTACAGGTATCGTCGCAGGATGGAAGCATTTCCTAATAAGGCTGCCTTTTGCAATTGACTAATAGCGAATTTGTCAATGCCGATGATGGTGTTCAAGTGGTGCTCCAGTTATTTTGGGATTGCACCCAAGGAGCCTATGACTATTGGTACTACCCTTGCTTGCTTTTGCCACAGTCTTTCTATTTTTATTTGTATGTCTTTGTATTTTGTTATCTTCTCCAGTTCTTTCTCTTCTATTCTGCTGTCTCCAGGCACTGCCACGTCCACTATCCAGACTTTTTTGTCTTTCTTATCGACAATTGTTAAGTCCGGGGTGTTATGTTGCAGGTGCTTGTATGTTTGAATTCTGAAGTCCCAGAGCAGTTTAATTTTATCATTTTCTATGATAATATGATTATTATTAATATTATTATATGATGATGATGATGATGATGATGATGATGATGATGATGATTATTATTATTATTATTATTATTATTATTATTACTATTACTTCTGGAAGTCCGTTCTAGGCCTCGGAGCCTGGAGGAGGCCTCCCACGTCTAGAACAGCCCACAGGAAGTACGTGGATGTCACTTCCGGAAGTCCGTTCTAGGTTTCGGAGGCCTGGAGGAGGCCTCCCAGACTAGAACAGCCCGCTAGAAGTGCGTGGATATCACTTCTAGAAGTCTGTTCTAGGCCTCGGAGCCTGGAGGAGGCCTCCCACGCTTAGAACGACCCATAGGAAGTGCATGGATGTCACTTCTGGAAGTCCATTCTAGGCCTCGGAGGCCCAGGCCTGCATCCATGCAGAGAACCAGATGTTCAGGTATCTGAATCCCACCACTGTTGACAACTGGTTCGTATTTATGATGGTTGCAGCATCCCGTGGGGGGTCACGTGATCCCCTTTTGTGACTTTGTCAGAAGCCAGATTCACTTAACAATCTTAACAACTGCGAAGCTGAGGAAGCTTCTCAGATAAGAAGCGAAACGTCTTTGAAGAAAAACATTTGCTTCTTGAAAAAAAAAACCACCTTTGGGGCAACCGCAGCGATTCAATTAACAAATGTGCCAAGGAAAGACGTCAAACGGGACAAGACTCCCCGAACTAAACGTTTCACTTAGCAACAACAATTCTGGGATCGACGGTGGCCGTTAAGTTAAGGGATACCTTTATTCTTTCCTTTTCCTTTTTTTTTTTTTTTTTCTTGGTGAATAAAGCGAACGAAACCCCAACGGGTCTTCCCATCCCACAGGTATTTTTCAAGGCGGGGCTGCTTGGCCAACTGGAAGAGTTGCGAGACGAACGGCTGTCGCGGATCATCACTCGCATCCAAGCCCGGGCAAGGGGCCAACTCATGCGCATTGAATTCAAGAAGATCATGGAGCGCAGGTGAGCCCCAGAGAAGAACGAGCTTACGGATGTTGACGTCAACTTTATAAAGCCTTGAGTGAGGCCACACCTGGAATCCTGCGTCCAGTTTTAGTTCCCACATTACAAAAAAAGATGTTGGGACTTTGTAAAAAGTGCAGAGAAGAGCAACTAAGACAGTGTTTCTCAACCTTGACAATTTTAAGGCATGTGGACTTCAACTCCCAGAATTTCACAGCCGGCAATGCTGCCTGTGGAATTCTGGGAGTTAAAGTCCACATGCCTTAAAATTGTCAAGGTTGAGAAACACTGAACTAAGATGATTTAAAGGCCTGGAGACTAAAACACAGGAAGGACGGTTGCAGGATTTGGGTTTGGCCAGTCTGGAGAAAAGGAGGACTTGGGGGGACATGATAGCAGAATTCTAGTATTGGGGGGGGGCTGCCACAAAGAAGAGGGGGGGTCCACTTATTTTCCAAAGCACCAAAAGGCAAGACAAGAAACAACGGATGGAAACTAATCAAGGAGAGAAGCAACCTGGAGTTAAGGAGAAACTTCCTAACAGTGAGGACAATTAACCAGTGGAACAGCTGGCCACCAGAAGTAGTGGGTGCTCCATCACTGGAGGTTTTAAAGAAGAGATTAGACAACCACTTATCTGAAATGGAATAGGGTCTCCTGCCTGAGCAGGGGGTTGGACTAGAAGACCTCTGAGGTCCCTTCCAACTCTGTTCTCACTGATTAGATTTCACACAACTCTGGGCAGCTCAGACATGTAATGTAAAGAAGAATTCAGGTAGTCCTCGTTTAGCAATTTGGTCATTAAGCGAAGCGATCCCTAAGAGATGAGATATGACTGCTTTTTTGACCTTCCTTCAGCTTTCTGAAGGAAATGTGAGGATTGGTCAGAAAAATTACTTTTTTGTTGTCACGGTCGTCATGGTGAACGGTCACTAAATGAATCAGCCGTTAAATGACAACGACGCGTAAAAGGGCCTCTCTTTTTTTTTTTTTTTTTGCACACTCCGCTTAGAATTGCTGTGAATTCTGAGCGGTTTTTTGAGAAGCGAATTCCCACGGGATAGAGGGTGGGAGAGGGAGAAAAGGGTTTTCCGAAAAGTTACAGTGTGGTTCTCCGTCGTCCTTTCCACCAGGGATGCCTTGCTCATTATCCAGTACAACATCCGGGCTTTCATGGGGGTAAAAAACTGGCCGTGGATGAAACTGTTCTTCAAGATCAAGCCATTGCTGAAGAGCGCGGAAACCGAGAAAGAAATGCAGGTGACTGCCTCAATTCACTTGTTCCTTCGTTCGTTTATTCATTCATTCCTTCATTTTTTTAATAGCTGCCCATCTGAATCCCATTGACTGTAGGCAGCAGACAACGTTCCAAGAATTAAAACCGTCAAAACATAAAAGAGTTACATTTACCGTATATGCCGCCGTATTAGGCGACCCGGCATAAAAGACGACCCCCGTCTTTATAGCCGGGCCGCATTCCTAGAACGTCGTCTTATACGCCAGAAACTACCAGTATTTCCGGCGTATAAGACGACTCGGCGTATAAGACGACCCCCGTCTTTGGCGGCGATTTCAGCACTCGCGGAAGTCGTCTTACACGCCAGCATTTACAGTATATTTGCTTTTAACACCGGCAGCCCTCGACGTACGACCGTAACTGGAAATGTCAGAATTCCTTGTTGGGATGTATTTCTGTGCAACAACTAGAGCAGGGGTAGGCAACCCAAAACACTCACAGAGCCACCCGGACCCGTTTCCCACCGAAAACAAAACACCGGGAGCCGCAAAACCCTTTTGATATCTAAAATGAAGATAACACTGCCTATATCCTTTTTTTACCTTTGTTATAGGTGTGTCTGTGTCTGTGTTTGTGTGTATGTATGTATGTATGTGTGTGTGTGTGTGTGTGTGTGTATGTATGTGTATATATATATATATATAGGTCTTTGGTTATTTGGGTTTTCTCCCACGTAAAACTGGAAAGCACCAGCCTGAAGATGACGAATGAGACTTTGTTGAAACGTCGCCAAGACACTTCCAATTTTACGCAGGAGAAAACCCGAACAACCAAAGACCTACATACAAACACCCGCGAAAACCTCAGAAAACAAATATGTATATATATATATATATATATATATATATATATATACACACACATACACACACACACACATACATACATATATACATACACACACACACACACACACACACACAGGTAAAAAAAGGATATATGCAGGGTTATCTTCATTTTAGATGTCAAAAGGGTCTCTTTCTCTCTGGAGAAACTGATCAAGGAGAGAAGCCACTTGGAACTAAGGAGAAACTTCCTGACAGTGAGGACAATTAACCAGTGGAACCACCTGCCACCAGAAGCGGCGAATGCTCCAACCCTGGAAGTTTTTAAGAAGAGACTGGACAGCCTTTTGTCTGAAATGGTGTAGGGTCTCCTGCCTGAGCAGGGGGTTGGACTAGAAGACCTCCAAGGTCCCTTCCAGCACTCTTCTGATTGATGGATTGATTGATTGATTGATTGATTGATTGATTGATTGATTGAGGTGACTCTTTTGTATCCTTCACAGACGATGAAAGAAGAATTCGGGAGGCTGAAGGAAGCTCTGGAGAAGTCAGAAACCCGGAGAAAGGAGCTGGAGGAGAAAATGGTTTCGTTGCTCCAGGAGAAGAATGACCTCCAGTTGCAAGTTCAAGCTGTGAGTAAATTTAAGCCACTTTGTTCTCCTTTCTAACTCAGAGGTTGGCATCCTTGCTCCTAGGCCTGAAGTTCTTTCTTTACATGGAGTCCTTGGTGCTCTCTGAGCTTGGTGGCTTTCTGGCAGACATTTCATGGTCCAGCTAGGGAACATCATCCGTGCTAGAAGGGAGGGAGGTTTGAGTAAAGCTCTAGCACGGATGATGTTCCCTAGTTGGGTCATGGAATGTCTGCAAGAGAACCACGAAGCTCAGAGACCATCAAGGACCCCACATCCCTCCTTCTCCTCTTCCTCCTTCTCCTTTTCTTTCTCCTTCTCCTTCTCCTTCTCCTTCTCCTTCTCCTTCTCCTTCTCCTCCTTCTCCTTTTCTTTCTCCTTCTCCTTCTCCTCCTCTTCCTCCCCTTCTCCTTCTCCTCCTTCTGCTCCTTCTCTTCCTCTTTCACCTCTCCTCCTCCTTGTCATCCTTCTGCTTTTTCTTCTCCCATTCCTCCCCCCTCCTCTTTCTCTCCTCCTCTTTCTCCTCTCCTCCTCCTCCTTTTTCACCTCTTCTCCTCCTTGTCATCCTTCTGCTTTTTCCTCTCTCTTTCCTTCTCCTCCTCCTTCTCTCGACCTCTTTCTCCTCTCCTTCTCTTTCACCTCTCCTTCTTGTCATCCTTCTGCTTTTTCTTCTCCCATTCCTCCCCCTCCTCTTTCGCTCCTCCTCTTTCTCCTCTCCTCCTCCTCCTTTTTCACCTCTTCTCCTCCTTGTCATCCTTCTGCTTTTTCCTCTCTCTTTCCTTCTCCTCCTCCTTCTCTCGATCTCTTTCTCCTCTCCTTCTCTTTCACCTTTCCTCCTTCTTGTCATCCTTCTGCTTTTTCTTCTGCCATTCCTCCCCCCTCCTCTTTCTCTCCTCTTTCTCCTCTCCTCCTCCTTGTTGTCCTTCTGCTTTTTCCTCTCCTTCCCCTCCTCCTCTTTCTCCCCTCCTCTCCTCCTCCTCCTCCTCCTCCTCCTCCTCCTCCTGCTCCTCCTCCTCCTCCTCCTCCTCCTCTTTCTCCTCCTGTTCCTCCTGCTTCTCTGCCTCATCCTCCCACCACCTCTGCTCTGCAAACTCCGTCCCCTTCTAGTACTGACGACGTTCCCTACTTGGGTCGCGAGACGTCTGCGAGGAAAACCACCCATCTGGGAGAGCGCCAAGGTTCAACCCTCAGCTACAGACCTCTCGGTTCTTCCTTCCTTCTCCCCCTTCCCTTCTTCCTCTCCCCAGGAGCAAGACAACCTGAACGATGCCGAGGAGCGCTGTGACCAGCTGATCAAGAACAAGATCCAGCTGGAAGCCAAAGTGAAGGAGATGACCGAGCGGATCGAAGACGAAGAGGAGATGAACGCCGAACTGACCGCCAAGAAGCGGAAGCTGGAAGATGAGTGTTCTGAGCTGAAGAAGGACATTGACGACCTGGAGTTGACTTTGGCCAAGGTGGAGAAGGAGAAACATGCCACGGAGAACAAGGTACGCTGGAAGGAACAGATAGTCCTCGGCTTAACGGCCACAACGGAGCCCGAGCTTTCCATCGCTTAGCAAGACAGTTGTCGCGTTTGGCCCCATTTTACAACCTTCCTTGCCACTGTGGTTAAGGGGACCGGTGCGATGGTTAAGCTAGCCACACGGTCGTTAAACGAATCCAGCTTCCCCCGTTGACCGTGCTGGTTGGAAGGTCGCGAAAAGGGGATCACGTGACCGACCCCGGGAGTCTGTGACCGTCGTAAATGTGTTTTTAATTTTCCTTTTTAGAATTTTTAATAATTATATTTTTTAAAAAAAATAAAGCCCTTTGAAGGCCAAGCGCAAAATGCACATCTTCATACACCCGCCCTGGCATTGCTCCCTCACAGTTGCACAACTTCAATGCCCAAGGACCTACCGATTGTTAAAGAACATCACAGCCACACTTCATGGGTCTGCAGTCTCTGAAGCGCCTATCACAGCTGGGGGACTGGGCAGGCTGTCTGGTTGCCCACTTCATTCTAATACGCTCTCCTCTCCTCTTCTCTTTTTTCCTCCCTCCCTCCCTCCCTCCCTCCCTCCCTCCTTCCTTCCTTCCTTCCTTCTCCTCATTCCCAACTCCTTCCTTCCTTCTCATTCCCATCTATCTCTCTCCATTCCTTCTTTCCTTCCTTCCTTCCTTCTCCTCATTCCATCTCCCTCCTTCTCATTTCCATCTCCCTCCCTCCCTTCCTCCCTCTCTCCTTATTTCTTTCCTTCTCCTCACTCCCATCTCCCTTCCTTCCACACTCACTCACTCCCTCCTTCCTTCCTTCTCATTCCCATCTCCCTCTCTCCCTTCCATCCTTCCTTCCTCCCTCCTTCCTTCCTTTCTTCTCCCCATTCCCATCTCCCTCTTTCCCTTCCATCCTCCCTCCCTCCCTCCTTCTCCTCATTCCCATCTCCTTTTTCCCTCCCTCCCTTCTTTCCTTCCTTTCTTCCTTCCTCCTCCCTCCCTCCTTCCTTCTCCTCACTCCCATCTCCCTTCCTTCCACACTCACTCACTCCCTCCTTCCTTCCTTCTCATTCCCATCTCCCTCTCTCCCTTCCATCCTTCCTTCCTCCCTCCTTCCTTCCTTCTCCTCATTCCCATCTCCTTCCCTCCCTCCCTCCCTCCCTCCCTCCCTTTCTCCCCCTCTCTCCCTTCTTTCCTTCCTTCCTCCCTCCCTTCCTTCCTTTCTCTCTCCCTCCTCCCTCCCTCCTTCCTTCTCCTCATTCCCATCTCCTTCCTTCTCATTACCATCTCCCTCTTTCCCTCCTTCCCTCCCTCCCTCTCTTCTTTCCTCCCTCCCTCCCTCCCTCCCTCCCTTCCTTCCTTCCTTCCTTCCTTCCTTCCTTCCTCCTTCCTTCCTTCCTTCCTTCCTCCTTCCTTCCTTTCTTCCTCTTTCCTTTGTTTTTCACCTCCAGGTGAAGAACCTCACGGAAGAAATGGCTGGCCTGGATGAGATCATCGCCAAACTGACCAAGGAGAAGAAATCGCTCCAGGAGGCCCACCAGCAAGCCTTGGATGACTTCCAGGTAGAAGAAGACAAAGTCAACAGCCTGAGCAAAGCCAAGATGAAGCTGGAGCAGCAGGTGGACGACGTAAGTGGACCAGGGCAGAAGGTGGGCAGCCGTCCAGCCCTCCAGGTCCTGGGTCCATCCTGGACCGAGTTTTGCTGACCAAGTGTGGCAGCCTTGTTGAAAGATTGCAAGGCTGGTGGCCCTCAAAACCGGGGGTGGGATGTCCGCCCATCACTCGTTGGCCTCTGCCCTCGGCAGCATCGGGAGACGCCGATTTGGGACATAATTTTAGGGGCCGGCGAGTTATAGAGAGGGATGAGATCTACTGGATATTCCAATATTTGGTCATGCTGGTTACGGGTCCTAGGGGTATTAAACATGGAGTATCTGGAGAGAATCTGGTGGCAAAGTCTGTGGCATGGTCCACCATCCATGCTTATACTTAAAGGGACATTTGGTGGGATTTGGTTTGTATTTAAAGTCCTCTTCTCTTCTTTCCTTCCTTCCTTCCCTCTTTCCTTTCTTTCCTTTCTTTTCCTTTTGTTCCTTCTTCCTTCCTTCCTTCCTTCCTTCTTGTCTTCCTCCCTCCTTATCTTCCCCTTCTTGTTTCTTTCCTTTCTTCCTTTCTTGCTTCCTCTCTTTCCCTTCTTTCCTTGCTTCCTACCTTACCTTTCTCCTCTCTCCCTCTCCTCTCCTCCTCTTCTCTTTTTTCCTTCCTTCCTCTCTTTTCTTTTTCCTTTTCCTTTTCCTTTTTCTTCCTTCCTCCCTCCGTCCCTTCCTTCTTGTCTTCCTTCCTCCTTCCCTCCTCTTTCCCTTCTTTCCTTTCTTTCCTTCCCTCCTCTCTCACTCCTTCCCTTCTTTGCTTCCTTCTTTCCTTACCTTCCTCCTCTCTCCCTCTCTTCTCTTCTCTTCTCTTTTTTCCTTCCTTCTCCCTTCCTTCCTTCCTCTCTTTTCTTTTTCTTTTTCCTTTTCTTTTTCCTTCCTCCCTTCCTCCCTCCCTTCCTTCCTTCTTGTCTTCCTTCCCCCGTCCTCCCTCTCTTTCCTTTCTTTCCTTCCTTCCTTCCCTCCTCTTTCACTTCTTCCCTTCTTTGCTTCCTTCCTTCCTTACCTTCCTCCTCTCTCCCTCTCCTCTCTTCTCTTCTCTTTTTTCCTTCCTTCCTCTCTTTTCTTTTTCTTTTTCCTTTTCCTTTTTCTTCCTTCCTCCCTCCCTTCCTTCCTTCTTGTCTTCCTTCCTCCTTCCCTCCTCTTTCCCTTCTTTCCTTCCTTCCTTCCCTCCTCTCTCACTTCTTCCCTTCTTTGATTCCTTCTTTCCTTACCTTCCTCCTCTCTCCCTCTTCTCTCTTCTCTTCTCTTTTTTCCTTCCTTTTTCTCTTCCTTCCTTCCTCTCTTTTCTTTTTCTTTTTCCTTTTCCTTTTCCTCCCTCCCTTCCTCCCTCCCTTCCTTCCTTCTTGTCTTCCTTCCCCCGTCCTCCCTCTTTCCTTTCTTTCCTTCCTTCCTTCCCTCTTTTACTTCTTCCCTTCTTTGCTTCCTTCCTTCCTCACCTTCCTCCTCTCTCCCTCTCCTCTCCTCTCCTCTCTTCTCTTTTTTCCTTTGTTCCTTCTTTTTTTCCTTTTTCCTTTTCTTTCCTTCCTCTTTCCTTCCTCCCTTCCTTCCCTCCTCTCTCACTTCTTCCCTTCTTTGCTTCCTTCTTCCTTCTCTCCTCTCCTCTCCTCTCTTCTCTTCATCAACAGCTGGAAGGTTCTCTGGAGCAGGAGAGGAAAATCCGGATGGATCTCGAACGCTCCAAGAGGAAGCTGGAAGGAGACTTCAAGTTGGCACAAGAGAACATTATGGATTTAGAGAACGACAAGCAGCAGCTGGAAGAGAAAATTAAAAAGTAAGGGAAGCACCAACTCTGGGCCTTTGGGTTCCCCAGTCGGGGGGGGGGTTCAGGAGAAGGATTTACTTCCCAGAATTCTCTTTGCAGGAAAGAGTTTGATATCAATGAGCAGAACAGCAAGATTGAAGACGAACAAGCCTTGGCCTCACAGCTGCAGAAGAAACTCAAGGAGCTGCAGGTACCAAACGTTCATTGATGCTCGGCCAGGGAAAGGGGGAACAGAACAGAACAGAACAGACAGAACAAAACGTAGAGTAGAGTAGAGTAGGAATGAATAGAATAGAATAGAATAGAATAGAATAGAATAGAATAGAATAGAATAGAATAGAATAGAATAGAATAGAATAGAATATAGTAGAGTAGAGTAGAGTAAGTAGAGTAGAATAACAGAGAAGAGAAAAGAGAAGGGACGGGAGAGGAGAAGATAGGATAGGATAGACTAGAATTAAGACTAGACTGGACTGGACTGGACTGGACTGGACTAGAATAGAATAGAATAGAATAGAATAGAATAGAATAGAATAGAATAGAATAGAATAGAATAGAATAGAATAGAATAGAATAGAATAGAATAACGGAATGAATTGGAATAGAATAGAATAGAATAGAATAGAATAGAATAGAATAGAATAACGGAATGAATTGGAATAGAATAGAATAGAATAGAATAGAATAGAATAGAATAGAATAGAATAGAATAGAATAGAATAGAATAACAAGAGTTGGAAAGGACCTTGTAGATCATCTAGTCCAACCCCACATCCAAGCAGGAGATCCTAGCCTACACCATTTCCCCAGAAATTCCTCAGAATCTAGACCAGCCGTCTATTTTGCCCCAGGAAGTGAAGCTTATCAAGGACGGGTGGGGTGGGGGGGTGGATGGTTTCACATGCAGCCTAGATCCTGCAGATGTTCTGATGAAGCTTTGCTTGCTCACCTTCCACTCACCTTCAACTGCACGGACCGGTTCCTAAAAGGCTGCAGACCGTGACTGGTCCGCAGCCTCTCCCGTCCCTTCTCTTTTCTCTTCTCTGTTATTCTACTCTACTTACTCTATTCTATTCTATTCTATTCTATTCTATTCTATTCTATTCTATTCTATTCTATTCTATTCATTCCTACTCTACTCTACTCTACTCTACTCTGCCCTAGAAGATGGAAGGGTCTAGTGCTTTGTCTTTTCCCCCCCACCATTCAGGCACGGATTGAGGAGCTGGAAGAGGAGATGGAGGCGGAGCGCGCAGCCCGGGCCAAGGTGGAAAAACAGCGCTCGGATCTTTCGCGAGAACTGGAGGAGATCAGCGAACGTCTGGAGGAGGCCGGAGGGGCCACCTCGGTGCAGATCGAGCTGAACAAGAAACGGGAGGCCGAGTTCCAGAAGATGCGCCGTGACCTGGAAGAGGCCACGCTCCAGCACGAGGCCACGGCGGCCACCTTGCGCAAGAAGCACGCGGATTCCGTGGCCGAGCTGGGCGAGCAGATCGACAACCTGCAGCGGGTGAAGCAGAAGCTGGAGAAGGAGAAGAGCGAGCTGAAACTAGAGCTGGACGACGTGGCCTCCAACATGGAGCAGATTCTGAAGGCCAAGGTGGTGTGTCAGTGGAGGAGGGGGTCCAAAACCAGCTGAGGGGGCCATGGACCCACAAGACTAGTTCTTGGGTAGATTGATGCTTACCGGCGTTCCATCTGCAGGGGGATGCTGGAAGGAAAATGTGGGGTCCTTGGTGCTCTCTGAGCTTGGTTGTTTTCTTGCAGACGTTTCATGACCCAACTAGGTAACATCATCAGAGCTAAAAGGGAGTGGGGTTTATGGAGAGGAGAGGAGGAGGACGAGGAGGAGGAGGAGGAGGAGGAGGAGGAGGAAGAGGAAGAGGAAGAGGAGGAAGTGTAATAGAGCCGAGGTGGCGCAGCAGTTAAGAGTGCAGGACTGCAGGCCACTTTAGCTGACTGTGTTCAGCAGGTCAGCGGTTCAAATCTCACCGGCTCAAGGTTGACTCAGCCTTCCATCCTTCCGGGGCAGGTAAAATGAGGACCCAGATTGTTGGGGGCAATGTAAATATATATATACATTGCTTACTGGTGTACACCGCTTAGAGAGTGCTTGCACTTAAAGCAGTATATAAGTCTCATAAATAAATAAATAAATAAATAAAATAAGAGGACTGTGGGGTCCTTGGTGATCTCTGAGCTTGGCTGTTTTCTTGCAGAGGTTTCATGACCCAACTAGGTAACATCATCAGTGCTAGAGGGGAGTGGGGTTTATAGAGAGAGGAGGAGGAGGAGGAAGACTGTCCTCGGTGTTCTCTGAGGTTGGTGCTTTTCTTGCAAACGTTTCATGACCCAACTAGGGAACATCATCAGTGTGATGGTCATCAATATAGCACTGGTGATGTTCCCTAGTTGGGTCATGAAATGCCAGCAAGAAAACAACCCAGCTCAGAGAGCACCAAGGACACCAAGTTGTCCTCGTTTTCTTCCTTCTCCTCCTCTCCAAAAACCTCCCTCCCTTCTAGCCCTGATGCCATTCCCTAGTTTGGTCATGAAACATCTACAAGAAAACAATCCAGCTCAAAAGATCCCCAACAGTTGATCTCTGAGCCTCAAATATTCTTTTTTATCGCTTAAGTAATTGCTACACGTCAAGCTGGGCACCGTCTCCTGGAGTGACTTCAGGACCTTAAATATCATAGATGTTCCTACCATCAACTAGTATAGGACTAGTAAGATGTCCCTCAAGCACCACTCCCTCACAATCCACAGATTTGGTACCCTGCATGTGAAAATTCTGCAGCTCAACTCTGACATCCCAAAATCTACATTGTTCCGGTGGTTGAAGGCCCTTTTCATGACTAGGTCTTCTCAAGTGAAGCTAACCGCCGCCTGGTTTCGTCGATGAACCTGCTCAAGCTTCTGCCAGGTTTTCTTCGGGTTTAATTCTTCTATTTCCTGGCAGGCAAATTTGGAGAAGATGTGTCGCACCATCGAGGACCAGTCTACAGATCACCGCGCCAAGTTGGAGGAGACGCAACGGACCCTCAATGACACAAACACCCAACGAGCGAAACTGCTCACTGAAAATGGTAACCGGCTACCATTTTTCTCCCTCTTGTGTGTCTGTGGAGTTTCTACGTCATCCGGGCCACAGTTGTCCTGAAGATGCTTCTCCAAAAGGCAACTGGACTTTGTTTTTCCCTGAAGGCGCTTCACTTGGAATACTGCATCCAGTTTTGGTCACCACGATGTAAAAAAGATGTTGAGACTCTAGAAAGAGTACAGAGAAGAGCAACAAAGATGGTTAGGGGACTGGAGGCTAAAACATATAAGGAACGGTTGCTAGAATTGGGTATGTCTAGTTTAAAGAAGAGAAGGACAAGGGGGGACATGATAGCAGTATTCCAATATCTCAGGGGCTGCCATAAAGAAGAGGGAATTAAGCTATTTTCCAAAGCCCCTGAAGGCAGGACAAGAAGCAACGGGTGGAAACTAATCAAGGAGAGAAGCAACCTCGAACTAAGGAGAAACTTCCTGACAGTGAGAACAATTAATCAGTGGAACAGCTTGCCTCCAGAAGCAGTAAATGCTCCAACACTGGAAGTTTTTAAGAAGAGACTGGACAGCCATTTATCCGAAATGGTGTAGGGTTTCCTGCCCGAGCAGGGGGTTGGACTAGATGACCTCCAAGGTCCCTTCCAACTTTACTACTACTATTATTATTATTACTTCTCATCCAAGAAGCTTTCTTCAGTTCTGACCAAACGGTGGAGGATGGAAGGAGTTATATTCCTTGCAGTCATCTGGTCATTAGTACTCTCTCTGGGAATCGTTGAGGCTCCTTGGAGGCTTATCTGTGCCCTCAGGGGCACAACACAATCCTTTCAGCAGTTCCAAGAAGGTGTTGTGATTCCGTGGCAGCCTGTGATCCCGGTAGTTGAGTCTGGGGAATCAGAGGAGGAGAAGGAAGAGGGGCCTGGAGAGCCATCAGGCTCTGATGAGCTGCAGGACTTACAAACTAATGAAGAGGCTGGTCCTTCCACTCGTGATCAAGCTGAGAGCCATCTGTGCTGGGAAGCTGAGTCAGACTCGGAGGAAGCACAGCTGGAAGACTTCAGAGACGCTCGTAAACATAGACAGGTCACACGAGTAGGACAGAGGGAGGCAATGGGGCGATTCCAGGGGAGGAGGAGAAAGCAGTGAAAAGCCATGCCTTGGGGGCTGCGTAACAAAAGGGAACGTGTGGGCAGGGCTGGTTGCTGGAGGCAACCGTTTGCAAAGAACCTCAGAGTCAAGAGATGATGGTCTGTTTATTTTGCCTGTGAGTTATTTCCTGTTTGACTCATGCTCCGTTTTGCTTTCGGGCAAGGTCTCCATTGGAAAAGGGTTCCATTGCTTTGGTTTTCTGGGACAATGATCAGGTCTGTAACTCAGATAAAAAGGGTTTATTTTCCAGTCTACTGTTCAAAGAGGGGTTGTCTTTGAGAAGTAACAAGGACGTACATAGGATGGGGCAGAACAGACGGTTCAATACCCGTTTGCTCTATTCAGGTGACCCCGAAGGCACAAATAAACCTCCACGTGGCCTCAACAATTCTCAGAGGGAGTACTAATGACCAGGTGACCGCAAAGGAATATAAGATAAAGATTGCACCCAGTAAGTCTGGCACACTGTAGAATCAGGGCTTTTCAACCAGTGGTACGGGTACCACCTGTGGTACATTGGCACCTGGCAGGTGGTACGCGACCATCCTAGAAAAGGGGTAGCAGGGGAGGGGAATGAGCTGAACCGGTGGCAGCACCGCACAAGCCTGAGCGAGAGACGGCTGGAGCTGCAGGGCTGTCAGGGCTCAGCGGAAGGACCAGGATCAGCGCCAGGCTCCAGCTGGAGCTCAGCGCTGATCCTGGTGCTTCTGCTGAGCCCTGAAGAAGCACCAATCAGCTGGAAAGCAGCACTGATCATGGCGCTTCTGCTGAGCCCAGAAGAAGCGCCGATCAGCTGGAATGTTGCAGCCTCTCCAGGGTCTTGTGATTTACCTTCAGATGCTTGGCAACTGATTCATATTTATGACGGTCACAGTGTCCCAGGGTCATGTGAAGTGACCAAAACCTGCTGCAACCACCCAGCAGATGGGGGGAATAAATACCAAACAGCCCCCCACCCCACCCCCGCTGCCAATCCTCAACAGAAATGCTCACAGCAATGAAAACCTCGGACAGGAGGAAGAGCGCGGGTGGGCGGGCAGGCAGGTGTCTTGCTCGGCTGTGGCTTGGGGGGCACTTTTTTCAGTTCCATCGTAACTTCGAACAGTCACTGAGCAAACTGTTGTAAATCGAGCACTACCTGTACTTCATCACCTTTTTTCCTTTTTTTTTGTTTTGGTCATCAAATTTTTGACACCTTGCTAGGTGACTGGTGGTACTCAGATGTTGCCATATCCTAAAAATGGCACAGTGGGTGAAAAGGTTGAAAAGCCCTGCCGTAGATAAGAAGGAAGAAAGCAGACGTGGCTAAACATGTTCCCGTTCGGGTGTCTCCCTAAAGATATCGTATGTTCTCGGGTGGGTTTAGGACACTGGATCCTTGTCCTTGCTGTCCTTTCATGACCCCTGCATCCAGGACTCTGCAAGTGACCAAGGCGAAAGGGGCCATCTGTATGTATTCACAACTAATACTGTCCCTTAACTCCTGGTCATCACTCAGAGAGAGTATGAACGACCAGATGACTGCAGAGGAGTATCAATCCTTCCCTCCTCCACCATTCGGTCAGAACTGGATGAGAAGCGAAATGTCTTCAAGGAAAAACAAAGGAAGTCCAGTTGCCTTCTGAAAAAGTGTAGGAATCAGTGCTCAGTCATTGCAGGGTGCAAATAGGGCTGACTGCTTTCACAGTGTTTATTGCCTTACATACAGGTATTCAAATAGCATAAAGTAAGATGGCATCAGCATAGCGACCGCCGTTCTGTCGGTGAAACCCCTTGCCAATCCTTAAGGGGCCCCATCCAGGGAGCAGTTTCTACCACATCCTGTTGATGGAACCAGGCTGATATCATGTGCCAGCCTGGGGTAGTTTCCCACATGGCCACGGTGATGTGAATGGATGAGATCATGTAGAGCAGTGGTTCTCAACCTTTTTAATGCCGCGTCCCCCAACTGGTCGTAAGTCGAGGACTACTCAACCGGTCATAAGTCGAGGACTACCCAACTGGTGCAGCACCGTTTGCAGAATGGGACTTTTGGCGGGCTCAGCAGGGCAGAGACAGCCTGGACAATTCCTATGGGCTTTTGAAAGCCAATAGAATTAGACTCTATTCAAGAGAGTCTATCCTATTGGCTTTCAAAAGCCAATAGAATAAAAGGGAGTAGCACAGCTAAGGAAAGGGGGGGGGGAAATGGCGGACTGCGTTGTTTGGCGACCCCCGTGAAATGGTCGTTCAACCCCAAATGGGGTCCCGACCCACAGGTTGAGAACCACTGATGTAGAGAGAAGAGGCACGCAGGCGTTGGAAGGGCAGTTGGCTGCTCACGACCTGTACCGGGCCCCTATCTCAACAAATCAGCACCTTTGGGTCTCCCTCTTGTTTTCCTACACCTCTTTGTGAGGTCCATCACAGTAACTGCTGGGACTCCATTTTCTCTCTTTCTGTCCTTCCTCAGGAGAACTCGCTCGACAGCTTGAAGAGAAAGAGGCCCTCATCTCCCAGTTGACCCGCGGGAAACAGTCCTACACCCAGCAGATGGAGGACCTCAAGAGACACGTGGAAGAGGAGAGCAAGGTGAAGGGACGTCGGTTGGGTTTGGGCGTGGAGGGGAAGGTCGGCGTGACGGACGTCCTTCCAAATTTACCCGTGTTCCTCGCTGTCCTAGGCCAAAAATGCTCTAGCGCACGCGCTGCAGTCCTCCCGCCACGACTGCGATCTTCTGAGGGAACAGTACGAGGAGGAGATGGAAGCCAAAGCTGAGCTTCAGCGACTCCTCTCCAAGGCCAACGCGGAGGTGGCCCAGTGGAGAACCAAGTATGAAACAGACGCCATCCAGAGACCGGAGGAGCTGGAGGAGGCCAAGTAAGTGAGTCAGACGAATTCAAGAGGTCACATCCTGACCTTCACCGTGGACAAAAGGTAGATCGATCACCACCTCGGATCACCAGCAGGCCTGGCTTCTGACGTGGTGTTCATGCTTGAAGACTCCTTTCCTTGGAGTAGGCAGGCCGTCCCCGACTTAACGACTCGCGTTGCTCATGGAGATGTTAAGTGAGTTGTGCCTTACTTTATGACCATTATCACGTCATTAAGCGAATCCAGCTTCCCCTCCCCCCATTCCTCCATTTGCTTGTCAGACGCCGGCTGGGAAGGTCGCAAATGGTGATCCCGGGAGAGTACAACGGTCACAAATACATGCCAGTTGCCGCCAAGCGCCCGAATTTTGATCACGTGACCTGGTGGGAAGACCAGCTGTCCGTTTTTTTTTTCAACAAAGCTCTAACTTCAAACGGTCATTAAACAAAGGGGTTGTAAGTCTAGAACAGTGGTTCTCAACTTGTGGGTCGGGACCCCATTTGGGGTCAAACGACCATTTCACAGGGGTCGCCAAACAACGCAGTCCGCCATTTTTTTCCCCCCTTTTCCTTAGCTGTGCTCCTCCCTTTTATTCTATTGGCTTTTGAAAGCCAATCGAATAGAATCTCTTGAATAGAGTCTAATTCTATTGGCTTTCAAAAGCCAATAGGAATTGTCCAGGCTGTCTCTGCCCTGCTGAGCCCGCCAAAAGTCCCCTTCTGCAAACGGTGCTGCACCAGTTGAGTAGTCCTCAACTTAGTAGTCCTCGACTTATGACCGGTTGGGGGTCGCGGCATTCAAAAGGTTGAGAACCACTGGTCTAGAACTACCTACTACTCCAAAATCGTTTTGGAAGTGCTTATCGGTGGCAGCCTTTCCTACCTGGACTGCCGTGTGTTCTGATAACATCTCCAAGACGATGTCTACCAATTGAGGAAGGAGATTTGAGCCTAACAGGCCTCGCGACCCTCATCTGGGACCTGTTCAGAGCTTCTGGCCTCCATATCTTCCTCCCTCCTAAACGTGCACCCCGTACTACGTTTCCCCTCCCTCCTATGTCTTCTCCACCCCTTCCCTCAAGACCTCGGCCATCTCCTTTCACCGGCGCTTCCTCTAATGAAGAAGCTTTTGGCTCGGGTTATATTTGAACTTGACGGCGTATAAGACGAGCAAAAAGCTTGTTGGTTGGAGGAGATTTCCCCATTTAAAAAAAAACAAAACACCAAGGTAGGTGGGTAGGGATGGTTATGCTGGGGAGGGTGTCCTGGTTTTGAGGACCAGACAATTTTCAGTGACTTACGGAGCCCAAACGAGCAAGGTTTGACTATGTAACCCCCCAAATTGTGACTCCTGTCCTTGCAGTTTCCACCTTAAGATTCCACCAAAAGATCTTGAGAATCTGGAAAGAGGGCAGAGAAGAGCAAGAAAGATGATTAGGGGGCTTCATAAAACATGTGAAGAACGGTTGCAGGAATCCAACATGGCTAGTCTAGTGAATAAAAGGACCAGGATAGCCACAAAGAAGAGGGGGGGGGTCAACATTTTCCAAAGCATTGGAAGGCAAGACACGAAGCAACGGATGGAAACTCATCAAGGAGAGAAGCAGCCTGGAATTAAGGAGAAACTTCCTAATAGTGAGGACAATTAAGCAGTGGAACAGCTTACCACCAGAAGTGATGGGTGCTCCGATACTAGGGTTTCCTGCTGGAGCAAGGGAATGGACTAGAACAGGGATAGGCCACCTTGGCTCTTTTATGACTGGTGGACTTCAACTCCCAGAATTCCTGAGTCAGCCATGCTGAGGGGAAAGGGAGAGGTTTCCCAGCTGAGCCATGCTGGGAGTTGAAGTCCACGAGTCATAAAAGAGCCAAGGTTGCCTACCCCTGGACTATAAGATCTCCAAGCTCCTTTCCAAGGTCCCGTTATTCTGTCTCTTACTTTAATGGTAAGCAGCTGGTCTGCCCTTGGAAAGTAAGCAGGGCCAGGGCTTGGATGGGAGACCACCAGGAGATGTAAACTAGAATACAGAGTTGACAAGCCCTCCCAGAAGAAGAGACTGGACAGCCACTTGTCTGGAATGGTATAGGCCAAGGGTAGGCCACCTTGGCTCTATTTATGACTCGTGGACTTCAACTCCCAGAATTCCTGAGCCAGCATGGGGCAACTATGGCTCCCTTGATGACTGGTGGACTTCAACTCCCAGAATTCCCCAGCCAGCATGGCTCAGCTTGGAAACCTCTCCCTTTCCCCTCAGCGTGGCTGGCGCAGGAATTCTGGGAGTTGAAGTCCACGAGTCATAAAAGAGCCAAGGTTGCCTACCCCTGCCCTAGACCAGAGGTGGGGAACAATGGCCACTTTTTATGACTCGTGGAGTTCAACTCCCAGAATTCCTGAGCCAGCATGAGGGAAAATTTGGCCCCTTCATGACTGGTGGACTTCAACTCCCAGAATTCCTGAGCCAGCATGAGGGAAACTTTGGCCCCTTCATGACTCATGGACTTCAACTCCCAGAATTCCTGAGCCAGCATGGCTCAGCTTGGAAACCTCTCACTTTCCCCTCAGCGTGGCTGGCTCAGGAATTCTGGGAGTTGAAGTCCACCAGTCATAAAAGAGCCAAGGTTGCCTACCCCTGGTCTAGGGTCTCCCGCTTCAACAGGGGGTTGGACATGAAGTCCTCCAAGCTCCCTTCCAGTTCTATGATTCTCTTATTCTTTTATTGACAACCCTGTTGCAGAGCACGAGATGGTCGGGTGGACTTGCTTAGCCACTCGTGGTGTTCTTCATCCAGAGAAGGATGGGAGAGTTGCTTTCCCCCTCAGCTGTGGGAAGGAGAAGGCCTCTGCCAGGGCTAATCTTCTCTCGGTTGTCCTCCCGTGCCAGGAAGAAGCTGGCCCAGAGGCTGCAGGAGGCCGAGGAAGCGGTGGAGGCGGTGAACGCCAAGTGCTCCTCGCTGGAGAAGACCAAACACCGCCTGCAGAACGAGATCGAAGACCTCATGGTGGACGCGGAGCGCTCGAACGCGGCCGCAGCTGCCCTGGACAAGAAGCAAAGGAACTTCGACAAGGTGAGGGGGTCACGGAGACCCCTTCCTTCTCAGGCCCCACAGGAGAGGCTGCTCCAGCTGGAGGCATTCGCCTGTCTGTGGGGCCTGGGACCGGGTATTTCCTGCTGGCTTCCCCAGTGACTTTGCTTGTGGGAAGCCACCGGGAAGTTGCCTCGTCTATTGTCGGTGGGATTCAGTGAACAATGACAACCAGGATTTCAGGGATTGCTGTCGCTAAGCACAGCAATTCGCGCTTTAGGCCACATTGTTTATCAACAGAAATTACTGTCATAGGTTGAGGACTGCCTGTATTTGTGGGGAGGGGAGAGATGAAGGAAGAGGGGAAAGAGAAAGGGGAAAGGGGAAAGGGGAGAAGGATGATGAAAGGAGAAGGGGAGGAGGAGAAGGAAAAGAGGAGAAAGAGGAGGGGAAGTGGAAGGGGAGGAGGAGAAGAAGGGGAGAAGAAGAAGGGTAAGAGAAAGGGAAGGAGATGAAAGAGGAAGAGGAGAAGCAGGAGGAAGAGAAGGGGAAGAGGAGAAGGGGAAGGAGAAAGGGAAAAGGAGGAGGAAGAAAGGGGAGAAGGAAGAGGAAGAGGAGGATGAAAGGGAAGGAAAAGGGGAAGAAGGAAATGGGATGAAAGCAAAAGAGGAAACCGACTCTTTTTGCCTTCCTCCTCCTCTGCTCCCCCTCAGATCCTCTCGGAGTGGAAGCAGAAGAACGAAGAATCTCAGGCAGAACTGGAGGCATCGCAGAAGGAGTCCCGGTCCCTCAGCACGGAGCTCTTCAAGCTGAAGAACGCCTACGAGGAGTCTCTGGAACACCTGGAGACTTTAAGAAGAGAGAACAAGAACTTACAAGGTGGGTGGAGCTGCGGGAGAAGAGGTTGGCCCAGCAAAACCCCCTTGCTTGGTGGCACCAGATGTTGAGGGACGCTTTTTTCCTCCCACATCTCCTTCTTCTCCTCCATCCACAGAGGAGATTTCGGATCTCACCGAACAGCTGAGCCAAGGAGCCAAAAACATGCACGAGTTGGAAAAAGTGAGGAAGCAGCTGGAGTCCGAGAAAGTGGACTTACAAGCAGCTCTGGAGGAGGCAGAGGTGAGCTTCCCTGTTTCCTCTTCCCTCAAACTCCATGTTTTTTTTTCCCCTTTCTTATTTCTCTCCTATTTCACTATAAAGGCCATTTAAAAGCATCTGAAGTGGTAGTTAAGTGTCCCTTCCCAGGTGGGAACAGAAAAGAAGCTTTACTCACCGATTTCACCTACCCTCAACAAGAATTGTTTAAATTAAAGGCACAAAAGAGCTAAACAAAACAGTATCTGGAGCAGGAGGCATTTAATTAAAGGCACCAAAGAGCTAAACAGAACAACAGAATCTGGAGCAGGAGGCATTTAATTAAAGGCACAAAAGAGCTAAACAGAACAACAGAATCTGGAGCAGGAGGCATTTAATTAAAGACACAAAGGAACTAAACATAACAGAATCTGGAGCAGGAGGCATTTAATTAAAGGCACAAAAGAGCTAAACAACAGAATCTGGAGCAGGAGGCATTTAATTAAAGGTACAAAAGAACTAAACAGAACAACAGAATCTGGAGCAGGAGGCATTTAATTAAAGGCACAAAAGAGCTAAACAAAACAGTATCTGGAGCAGGAGGCATTTAATTAAAGACACAAAGGAAGTAAACATAACAGAATCTGGAGCAGGAGGCATCTAATTAAAGGTACAAAAGAGCTAAACAGAACAGAACAGAATCTGGAGCAGGAGGCATTTAATTAAAGGCACAAAGGAGCCAAACAGAACATAATCTGGAGCAGGAGGCATTTAATTAAAGGTACAAGAGAGTTAAACATTTCCACAGTGCTTCTCCTATCAGGTTTTCTGCTTCTATTGTCTTTTAAAAGAAAACAGGACTACAAATCAGGATTGTCTTTTAAAAAAAAAAATACTGCAAGGGTATCACACTGATATCACAGCCCAGATTCCATTTTTAAAATGGAATTTTAGAAAAAAAATGGCAAGGAAGGAAGCTGCTAATTCATAAAGCCTTGGTCCATTAGAAAGTAAGCAACTCTAATCTGAGGTTATTTTAACTGAACAGAATAATAGAGTTGGAAGGGACCTTGGAGGTCTTCAAGTCCAACCCCATTCTCTAGCAAGGAAACCCATTTCAGACAAATTGATTGTCCAATCTCTTCTTTAAAACCATCCATAACTTATGAAGTCAAGCTGTTCCACTAATTTATTGTTCTAACTGTCAGGAAATTTCTCCATAGTTCCAGATTGGTTCTCTCCTTGAGAACCAATCTAGAACTAAGAAAGCTTCCAGATCTCAATACTAATTTTTTTCTCCTTTCTCCTTCATCATTTTACCCATAATTCTTTGTTGATCTGGGACCATAAGAAAGATTGATTAATTGATTGATACCCATAATTCTTTGACTCCCCAGGCATCTTTGGAACATGAGGAAGGGAAGATCCTCCGGGCCCAGCTGGAGTTCAACCAAATCAAGGCCGAAATTGAACGCAAATTGGCCGAGAAGGATGAGGAGATGGAGCAGGCCAAGCGGAATCACCTGAGGACAGTGGACTCGCTTCAAGCTTCCCTGGATGCCGAGACCCGCAGCCGCAACGAGGCCCTGAGGATCAAGAAGAAGATGGAGGGTGATCTCAATGACATGGAGATCCAGCTTAGCCAAGCGAACCGGGTGGCCGCTGAGGTTCAGAAGCACCTCAAGATCGCTCACGCCCACCTCAAGGTAAGGAGATATGGAGACCTTCATATCTTCCTTGCTCATCCATAGTTTTCTGGGCTCAATGTTTGCTTCAGGCTGTGTTTTTTGGATGGCCCAGGACAATCAGATTCAACTGGACGATGCCCTTCGAGCCAATGAGGACCTGAAGGAGAACATCGCCATTGTGGAGAGGCGCAATACGCTGCTGCAGGCCGAGCTGGAAGAGCTACGCTGCGTATTGGAGCAGACGGAGCGTGGGCGGAAACTGGCGGAACAGGAGCTGACGGAGGCCAGTGAGAGGGTCCAGCTCCTCCATTCTCAGGTGAAGGGAGAGCAGCTGATCCTTCTCATGTTTCTTTGAGTCTCGTTCTGTAGAAGCCACAGAAGTGACCTTGGAGAAGCGTTCCAGAGCCTGTTCAGACAACCACAGATGGTGAAGGGTGCTTTAAACATAGACAGGAGGGAAAGTTTTAGGAAAAGATTCACATTGGCTGATCACTGGAGCAGTGCTTCTCAACCTTGGCAACTTTAAGATGAGTGGTCTCTAACTCCAGGTTCTGGACATAGGTTCTGAGGGAATAGATTCCAGATGCAGGTTCTGAGGGAACAAAGTAGGTTTTGGATACAAGTTCTGAGGGAATAAAGTAGGTTCCAAATGAAGGCTCAGAGGGAATAAAGTAGGTTCCAAATGTAGGTTCTGAAGGAATAAAGAAGGTTCCAGATGCAGGTTCTGAGGGAATAAAGTAGATTCTGGATGCAGGTTCTGAGCAGTGGTGGGATTCAAATATGTGAACAACCGGTTCTCTGTGGTGGATGCCGCTTCTAGGCCTGGGCAACAAAAAAGTTAGCTACCAGTTCTGCCGAACTGGTGCGAACCAGCTGAATCCCACCATTGGTTCTGAGAGAACAAAGTAAATTCCGGATGTAGGTTCTGAGGGAATAAAGTAGGTTCCAGATACATGTTCTGAGGGAATAAAGTAGGTTCCAGATGTAGGTTCTGAGGGAATAAAATAGGTTCCGGATGTAGGTTCTGAGGGAATAAAGAAGGTTCTGGATGCAGGTTCTGAGGGAATAATGTAGGTTCCGTATGCAGGTTCTGAGGGAATAATGTAGGTTCCAGATACAGGTTCTGAGGGAATAAAGTAGGTTCCGGATACAGGATCTGAGGGAATAAAATAGGTTCCGGATGTAGGTTCCAAGGAAACAAAATAGGTTCCGGATCTAGCTTCTGAGGGAATAAAGTAGGTTCTGGATGTAGGTTCTAAGGGAATAAAATAGGTTCCAGATGTAGGTTCTGAGGGAATAAAATAGGCTCCGAATGTAGGTTCTTAGGGAATAAAATAGGTTCTGGATGGTTTCAAGCAAACTTTGACCTTCATAGGTCCCATACTACATGAAGACATCAAATGTTTGGACCTGTCAGTTGATCTTCTTTTATTTCTCCTGTTGTGGCTTGACTCACTAATTGAGATTGCCATTTTTCTCCAGAACACCAGCCTCATCAATCAGAAGAAGAAGATGGAGACTGATCTGACCCAGCTTCAGTCAGAAGTGGAAGAAGCTGTGCAGGAATGCAGAAACGCTGAGGAGAAGGCCAAGAAAGCCATCACGGATGTGCGTGAGAGCGAAATCACGGACGGGGGTTGACCACGAATGGTCCATAATGACAATTTGACTCTTTCTCGCATTAAGTAATCAGAGGTCTCCAAAGCTTGGCAACTTTAAGACTTGTGGACTTCCACTTCCAGAACTTCCATGGCTAGCTGGGCAATTCTGGGAGTTGAAGTCCACAAGTCTTAACGTTGTCAAGTTTGGAGACCCCTGATCTAAATGGAGCCACCAGGCCCTTCGAGAAAAATTCTTCTACCTTCTCTCCTTCTTTTGGAAATATAATGACTCACTACCAATGAAGGAGAATATTTGTAGGTTGAAATGAGGAGTCCTTGGTGTTCTCTGAGCTGGGTGGTTTCCTTGCAGACGTTTCATGACCCAACTAGGTAACATCATCAGTGCTAGCATGGAGTGCTGTTTGCTGTCAGTTTACATTCTGATGTCTTGCCTATCTGTCTGATGATGTTATCTAGTTAGGGCAGACATGTTAAACACAAGGCCCAGGGGCCGGATGCGGCCCGCAAAGTGGTTTCATGTGGCCCGCGAAGTCATCCTGGAAACAGTGAGGGAATGGCCCCCACTGTCTTGGCCCTGGCCCAGGCCGGCCGGGAGCCAATGTACAATTTTGTGGTGGCCATCTATGCTGAAATGCATTCCGTCTTAGCTCCACAAGGCCATCTAGAACAGTGGTTCTCAACCTTTTTAATGCCGCGACCCCCAACCAGTCGTAAGTCGAGGACTACTCAACCGGTTGTAAGTCGAGGACTACTCAACTAGTGCAGCACCGTTTGCAGAATGGGACTTTTGGCGGGCTCAGCAGGGCAGAGACAGCCTGGACAATTTCTATTGGCTTTTGAAAGCCAATCGAATTAGACTCTATTCAAGAGAGTCTATTCTATTGGCTTTCAAAAGCCAATAGAATAAAAGGGAGTAGCACAGCTAAGGAAAAGGGGGAAAAAATGGCGGACTGTGTTGTTTGGTGACCCCCGTGAAATGGTCGTTCGACCCCAAATGGGGTCCCAACCCACAGGTTGAGAACCACTGGTCTAGAAACAGTGAGGAACCAGCCCCTGCCGCGTCGGCCCTGTCCCCTGGGTGCATGCTGGGAAGGTGTCACCCTTTGTGAGGAATGAAGAAATGGACCATGCCTTGGCGCTTGCCCCGGTCCCAACCCCTTCTGCCAGAGACCCTCTGTCCCACTCCTGCCCAGGCCCCCACAGGCCCCCTTGACGTGAACGTTGTAGAGCTGGCCATGCCCACCCAGTAGGCCACATCCACTCCATCCACGCCCGCCCAGTAGGCCACACCCACCCTGGCCACACCCACCCGGCCCCCCAAGGGCAACCGCAATGCTGATGCGGCCCTCAATAAAATTGAGTGTGACACTCTTGAGTTAGGGTAACGAAACGTCCGCAAGAAAACCCCCCAGCTCAGAGAGCACCAAGGACCCCTCGACTCACTTAACGACCATAGTGACATATGACCGTAATTCTAGGCTTAATTACAATTGTAGGTCTAGAACAGGGGTAGGCCACCTTGGCTCTTTTATGACTGGTAGACTTCAACTCCCAGAATTCCTGAGCCAGCCACACCGAAGGGAAAGGGAGGGGTTTCCAAGCTGAGCCATGCTGGCTGAGGAATTCTGGGAGTTGAAGTTGTTATGTGCTCCTGGCTACTTTCCTTCGTGACCAGAGACAAGCTCGCCTGACCAATAACCAGCCAAGACACAGTGAAGGCCTTTTTGTTTTGTTTATTGCAATAAGCGGAAGAGAAGCTTTCTAAGCTTGGTTCTCTTCAAAGGTTTAACCCAAAATAATTCCTTCTTTTATTCATCCCTATCACCGGCCGCTACAGCCCTCCTCTTTCCCCATTGGCTGAGGTAGTATGAGGTTACACTCTTTCCGTCCGCCTATACACATTTCCTGATAACACACTAAATCATATTCACATATACAATAAGAATAAGAAAAATTATATATTTTAAATGGTTATTTTAAACTCAATATATTTATGTCCCCATTTTAAACAATAAGTTCTTTTCCTGCTTTTCAATTCCTCTCTTCTTATCTTATTTGGCATGGTTCCCTGCTTTCCTATACTTTCTGGCTAGCCATTTCCTTAAAAACAACTATTTATCTATTTTATTACTTCCCTCTTCCTTTCTCAGACCCAGCTATTTTTACCTCTATGGTTTATCTTACTTCCTTAATGTTATCTCTTTCTGACTCTCACCAACTGTATTTTTTTCTATTCAATTAGTTTCCATTGTATTGTATTTTTAACTGACTGAAGATTTATCATATTGATGTATATTTATCAAAGTCCACGAGTCATGAAGGGGCCAAAGTTTCCCCCATGCTGGCTCAGGAATTCTGGGAGTTGAAGTCTACGAGTCATAAAAGAGCCAAGGTTGCCTACCCCTGGCCTAGAATATGGACATTTCACAATTATGTGAAATGAGACTCATCTCCATGTTCTCCTTTGCTTTGGTCCACCAGAGGCATCCTGGGTTAAAAGAGGACCCGTAATGTTGACATGAATAATTAGCCCAGGAGTTTAGGACTAATTTCCCCATTAATGCCAAGAGTAAGGTTCGACGGACGTCTTTCTCCCTTATCCTTTTGAACGGGGCAGGCGGCCATGATGGCAGAAGAGCTGAAGAAGGAGCAGGACACCAGCGCCCACCTGGAGAGGATGAAGAAGAACATGGAGCAGACCATCAAGGACCTCCAGATGCGCCTGGACGAGGCGGAGCAGCTGGCCCTCAAGGGCGGCAAGAAGCAGCTTCAGAAACTGGAGGCCCGCGTGCGAGAGCTGGAGAACGAGCTGGAAGGGGAGCAGAAACGCAACGTGGAGAACGTCAAGGGCATGCGCAAGTGCGAGAGACGCATCAAGGAGCTCACCTACCAGGTGAAGAGCTCAGAAAGCACCAATGACCCTTGAGTCCACCTCTTCCATTTCCTCCCCCTCCCCTCCTCCTCCTTCTCCTCTACTCCACAAACCCCTCTTCCTTCTAGCACTGATGATGTTCCCTAGTTGGGTCATGACACGTCTGCAAGAAAACAACCAAGTTCACCAAGGTTCCCTAGAGTCTTCCTCCTCTTCCTTCTCCTCCTCCTCTCCTCCTTCTCTTCTTCCCCCTCCTCTCCTCCTCCTCCTTAAACCCTCCTCCACCACCACCACCACCTTTTGCTCCTCCTCTCTCCATAAACCCCACTCCCTTCTAGCACTAATGATGTTCCCTACTTGGGTCATGAAACATCTACACAAAAACCACCCAGCTCAGTGAGCACCAAGGACACTACAGCCACCTCTCCTCCTCCTCCTCCTCCTCCTCTTCCTCCTCCTCCTCCTCCTTCTCCTGTCTCCACAATCCCCCCTCCTTTCTAGCACTGATGATGTTCCCTAGCTGGGTCATGAAACGTCTGCAAGAAAACCGCCCAGCTCAGAAAGCATCTCAAGGACCCCACAAATCCAGGGTTTGTTTTTTTTTTCTTTTTTCGTAAACCAGTTTCAGCTAGATCAGCGATTCTCCACCTGTGGGTCGGGACCCCATTTGGGGTCAAACGACCATTTCACGGGGGTCGCCAAACAAGGCTGTCCGCCATTTTTTTTTCCCCTTTTCTTTGGCCACGCCCCTGGCACCCGGCGATGTATAAGTGGTTGGGGGTCACCACAACATGGGGAACTGTATTATGGGGTCGCGGCATTAGAAAGGTTGAGAACCACTGGGCTAGATCATTTTGATGGCCCTTGGAAAGTACCCTGTGGATGACACCATTCAGACATCCAGCGAAAACCATGATCTCATAGAGATGTGCGTGGTTAATGCTGGTCCTGACCTCCATCCATCCATCCATCCACCCATCCTTTCTCCTTTTTTTTTCTTGGATTTGCAGACCGAAGAGGACAAGAAAAACTTGCTGAGACTCCAAGACCTGGTGGACAAGTTGCAGATGAAGGTGAAAGCTTATAAAAGACAAGCCGAAGAAGCGGTGAGTTCCTAAGCGTGGGTCCCTTCCAGCCAGTCCTCAACTGACCGCGATTCGTTTAGTGACCGTTGAAGCCGCTGGAAAAAGCGACTGAGGGCCGCCTTTCGCACGGCCGTTGCGGCATCCCCATGGTCACCTCATCCCCAATTTGGACGCTTGGAAACTGGCATGTACTTAATGACGGTTCCAGCGTCCCGCGATCCCCTTTTTGCGACCTTTGGCCGAGCAAAGTCCGTGGGGGACTCCAGATTCACTTAGCAGCCGTGTGACTAAATTCACAAGTGAACAACATGGGCAAGAGGGGTCGTAAAACAGGACAAAGCTTGCTTAACCACGGCCTCAATTAACAACATAAATTTTGGGCTCCGTCGTGGTCATAAGACCGAGGATTGCCTGTATTCTGCTGGTGCTGAAGGCTTTCTCACTTTAGTCAAACTGCTTAGCCTAATTGTAAGATTTTGGTCCATCTTAAAGCCTTTGCCAGACTTGTAAACAGCTTGGCAAGATTGCTTAAGCCCTGGATGACCTTAGGCTGAAACCACGGAGGATGATGATGATGATGATGATGATGATGATGATGATATGATAATAAGCAGATAAGAAAGCAGATAAAAATAAGACCTGGCAATGGCTAAGAGCAGGAAAATTGAAGAAAGAGACCGAGGGACTAATTCTGGCTGCACAAGACCAAGCCTTAAGGACAGATGCATACAAAGTCAAAATTGAGAAGACAGCAACAGACAGTAAGTGCCGCCTATGCAAAGAAGCTGAAGAAACAGTGGACCACCTGGTAAGCTGTTGCAAGAAGATTGCACAGACTGACTACAAGCCCGGCATGACAAAGTAGCAACAATGGTGCATTGGAAGATCTGCAAAAAATATCATTTGCCTGTAAGCAAAAACTGGTGGGATCATAAAATAGAGAAAGTCATAGAAAATGATAAAATTAAACTGCTCTGGGACTTCAGAATTCAAACAGACAAGCACCTGCAACACAACACCCCAGACACAACAACTGTCGATAAGAAAGACAAAAAAGTCTCGATAGTGGATGTGGCACTGCCTGGAGACAACAGAATAGAAGAGAAAGAGCTGGAGAAGATAACAAAATACAAAGACCTACAAATAGAAATAGAAAGACTGTGGCAAAAGCAAGCAAGGGTAGTACCAATAGTCATAGGCTCCTTGGGTGCAATCCCAAAACAACTGGAGCGCCACTTGAACACCATTGGCATTGACAAATTCGATATTAGTCAATTGCAAAAGGCAGCCTTATTAGGAACTGCTTCCATCCTGCGACGATATCTGTAATACCATCAAACATCCACATCTGCCTATCCCAGGTCCTGGGTAAGGACTCGATAGGTAGACAAAATGCCAAATCCAGTCTGAACATCTGGCTGACTGTGCGATGATCCAAAATAATAATAATAAAGTTGGAAGGACCTTGGAGGTCATCTAGTCCAGGGCTTTTCAACCTTTTCACCCACTGTACCACTTTTAGGATATGGCAATATCCGAGTACCACCAGTCGCCTCGCAAGGTGTCAAAAACTGGATGACCAAAAAAAAAAAAAAGGAAAAAAGTGATAAAGGTAGTCCTTGACTTTCAACAGTTCGCTTAGTGACTGTTTGAAGTTACAATGGCCCTGAAAAAAGTGCCCCCCAAGCCCCAGCCGAGCAAGACACCTGCCTGCCTGCCCGGCGGCGCTCTTCCTCCTGTCCAAGGTTTTCATTGTTGTGAGCATTTCTGTTGAGGATTGGCAGCGAAGGTGCGTGTTTGCTTTTTATTGCCCCCCCCCCGTCTGCTGGGTGGTTGCAGCAGGTTTTAGTCACTTCACATGACCCTGGGACACAGTGACCGTCATAAATATGAATCAGTTGCCAAGCATCTGAATGTAAATCACAAGACCCTGGTGAGGCTGCAACATTCCAGCTGATCGGCGCTTCTTCTGGGCTCAGCAGAAGCACCAGAATGAGTGCCGCTTTCCAGCTGATTGGTACTTCGGGGCTTAGCAGAAGCACCAGGATCAGCACCGAGCTCCAGCTGGATCCTGGCACTGATCCTGGCGCTTCCGCTGAGCCCTGACAGCCCTGCAGCTCCAGCCGTCTCTCGCTCAGGCTTGTGCGGTGCTGCCACCGGTTCAGCTCATTCCCCTCCCCCGCTACCACTTTTCTAGGATGGTCGCGTCCCACCTGCCAGGTGCTAATGTACCACAGGTGGTACCCGTACCACTGGTTGAAAAGCCCTGCTCTAGTCCAACCCCCTGCTCAACCAGGAAACCCTACACCATTTCAGACCAATGGCTGTCCAGAATCTTCTTAAAAGGAGGAGGAGGAATAACAGAGTTGGAAGGGACCTTGGAGGTCATCTAGTCCAACCCCCTGCTCAGGCAGGAGACCCTATACCATTTCAGACAAATGGCTGTCCAGTCTCTTCTTCAAAACCTTCAGTGTGGGAGCATTTACCGCTTCTGGAGGCAGGCGGTTCCACTGGTGAATTGTTCTAACTATGGAACAGAGTAAATGAGAAAAGAATTGTTCCTTTTGCAGCTAGTCCTCAAGTTACAACCGTTTATTCAGTGGCCGTTCGAAGTTACAGCGGGACTGAGAAAAGTCACTTCGGACCGTTTTCCCACACTTACGACCGTTGCAGCCTCTCCCATGATCACGTGACCAGAATTCAGATGCTTGGCAACTGGCATTTACTTACGACGGTTGCAGTGTCCCGGGCTCACGTGATCCCCTTTTGCGACCTTCTGACCACAAAGTCAGTGGGGAAAGCCAGATTCACTTAACGACCAGGTGACTAACTTAATAACTGCGGCGATTCACTTAACAACCGTGGGAAGAAAGGGGCTCAAAGGGGGTCAAAATTCAGTTAACAAATGTCTCACTTAACAACCAAATTTTTTCGGCCTCAGTTGTGATCATAAGTCAAAAAGCCTGCCTGTGTCGTAGCTGCACCTCATTTGCGGAATATATTCTCCGAAGTTGGAAAAAAGCCGTGTTCATTTCTGGAAAGGAGTCCGCTGGCATCTTTGCAGACTAACTCATTTTATTTTAAAATCCTTAAAAATAAATTAATTAATTAAGAAATACCTCATCTTAACGACGAAAGAAAGGCCGTAAAATCAATTCTGGGGATGCCACAAGCCACTTTACAACCTTGGTGCGTTGCAACTGGGATACCACGCAAACGACGTTGCGGTCGTAGCAAAAATGATCAGGGGCCTAGAAGCCAAAACATACGAAGAGCGATTGCAGGAACTGGAGATACCTAGTCTAGTGAAAAGAACGACTTAGGGGGTGACACGATAGCAGCCTTCCAATATCTCAGGGGCTGCCCCAAAGAAGAGGGAGTCAAGCTATTCTCCAAAGCGCCTGAAGGCAGGACGAGAAGCAACGGATGGAAACTGATCAAGGAGAGAAGCAACCTAGAACTAAGGAGAAACTTCCTGACAGTGAGAACAATTAATCAGTGGAACAGCCTGCCTCCAGAAGCAGTGAATGCTCCAATACTGGGGGTTTTTAAGAAGAGACTGGACAGCCATTTGTCCGAAATGGGATAGGGTTTCCTGCCTGAGCAGGGGGTTGGACTAGATGACCTCCAAGGTCCCTTCCAACTTTACATTATTATTATTATTATGGATCATCGCACAGTCAGCCAGATGTTCAGACTGGATTTGGCATTTTGTCTACCTATCGAGTCCTTACCCAGGACCTGGGATAGACAGATGTGGATGTTTGATGGTATTACAGGTATCGTTGCAGGATGGAAGCAGTTCCTAGTAAGGCCGCCTTTTGCAATTGACTAATAGCGAATTTGTCAATGTGTTCAAGTGGTGCTCCAGTTGTTTTGGGATTATTATTATTATTATTATTATTATTATTATTATTATTAACCTCTACCAGAGTGGTTCTCAACCTGTGGGTCGGGACCCCATTTGGGGTCGGACGACCATTTCACGGGGGTCGCCAAACAACGCAGTCCGCCATTTTTTTCCCTCTTTTCCTCTTGAATAGAGTCTAATTCTATTGGCTTTCAAAAGCCAATAGGAATTGTCCAGGCTGTCTCTGCCCTGCTGAGCCCGCCAAAAGTCCCATTCTGCAAACGGTGCTGCACCAGTTGAGTAGTCCTCGACTTAACGACCGGTTGAGTAGTCCTCGACTTATGACCAGTTGGGGGTCGCGGCATTAAAAAGGTTGAGAACCACTGCTCTAATGCTCCTTCCAACTCTGTTACTATTACCTAGCAACTGCTCCTGTGTCTCTTCTCGGTGGTGTGTTCTGTGGGCCAGTCATAAGGAGATCCTTCAGCTGATCCTTCACAGGACTTTGATTTCCAGATCCTTCTCCATCTGATTCTTCCTCCTCGGACCTTGATCTCCTGTCCCCTTCTGGAGTGTCATGTCCACAACTGGACAGTGGACTCCAAACAAAGAGATGGAGAGTAGCAAGAACAATGTCCCTAAATCCTTTTCTACTCCCCCTGCCAGGAGGAACAGGCCAACACTAACCTCGCCAAATTCCGGAAGGTTCAGCATGAGTTGGACGAAGCCGAGGAGCGGGCGGACATCGCTGAGTCCCAGGTCAACAAGCTGAAGGCTAAAACTCGTGACGTGGGAGGAAAGGTGAGTCCTTATTTTGGGGCAGGGGGTGGGCTAAGAGGAGGAAGGTCAGCAAACGGTTGAAAAAACGACCTCTTTCTCGTTTTATGTTTTTGACTTACTCATTGCTTGCTCCTATCAGGTAGATAGAGATGGGGGAGAGGAGATATAGAGAAAAAATAGAGAGATAGACGGAATGGACAAATGGATGATAGATAGGACAGACAGACAGATAGAGAAGATAGATGACGTATGATGGCAGTAGATAGATAGATGATAGATATAGATGTTTATAGAGAAAGACAGAAACAGAGAGAGACAGAGATGGGTAGAGAGAGAGAGAGAGAGAGAGCAAAAGAGAGAACTTTTAGATTTTTTGTGATAAACGTTTCCTGGTTTGGTCTACATCGGGGGGACAGACAGCTACCCAGGGAAATATTGACTATGGAATTGACACTAGGCAATATAGCCCTCTCACCCAAATTAACTTTTCTTTAACATATTGGAAGTGAATAAGAAGAGAGGAGAACAGAACAGAAGACAGAATGGAAAGGAGAATAGGATAGGATAAAACAAATAATAGAACAGAATAGAGTAGAACAAAAATTAGAAGAGAATAGAACAAAGAATAGAATAGAATAGAATAGAATAGAATAGAACAAAAGATCAGAAGAGAACAACATAGAACAAAGAATAGAATAGAATAGAAAAAAGATTAGATGAAGAGAAGAGAATAGCCTAGAACAAATAGAATAGAATAAGAAATAGAATGGAATATAGAATAGAATAGAATAGAATAGAATAGAATAGAATAGAATAGAATAGTTCTTTCTTGGCCAAATATGATTAGACGCAGAAGGAGTTTGTCTCCAATGCAGAAGCCCTCAAGTGTACATGCAAAACAACAAAGTAATATTAATTATAATAACGAAGGTCCTTCACCGCTCCTAGGGGAATCCCACAACAGAGAAAAATATGTGTATATTTCATAGCAGCAAAGAACTATGATTGATTTCTGCTTTCTCTGTTTATTTTTTTTCACGCTTCCCCTTTCTGCTTCTCTCTTCCAGACACTCCACGATGAAGAGTGAGGAAGTCTGGAAAATTCATTTTAGCCAAAGTAGCCATTTAACCACCCTTTGCCTGGAGAGGCCCTAACACGAATGTAGTGCAGTGAAATAAACCTGAATAGCAACAAAAAATCTCGTTTCCCACACATTTCTATTGCTCAAACCTGAGCCAACCAACGTCAAACAAATTTTCCCTGTTAGTTAAAATAAAATAATGTCGCTATCATGTTTGCGGGAAAAACAATTTCCAAAATTCATATTTAGGTCATGCATGTTATTACACCTTTTCTAAACAAGTGTGCCTTTGAGCTATGTTATCAGGTACAATATGAGTGGTAGAAGGGAATATATCTTATTAGTGACTTAAAAATTAAAAAATGTGCAAGGATCTGAAGTTGCAAGGATCAACGGTGCCCCCTGGTGTTCGGACGTGGCATTTGCAGGCGAAATTAGATTCTCCAAACAAAAATGTATTCCCTGTAGGATGGCGCCTTCAAGTGGCGATGTTGAATATTACAGTCCATTTTTATAAATGGGGAAAGAAAGAATTGGACCGGAATGAATTTAGTATCAAAAGTGGAGTTATTCTCTTCCAATCAGGCAGAAGGGGATATGCATCATTTAACAGTGAAAACAAGCTGCCATCTAATTTATAATTATCAATTTAGATGAGAAATTCACAGTGGATCCGACTGCTGAAGTTCTTTTCTGAGGCTCAGTTGTCAGATGGGTTTTGCCCCATTTTACGACCTTTGCCACCATTGTTAAGTGAATCACTGCAGTTGATAAGTTAGTCACTTACGATTATCATGTGAATCTGGCTTCCCCCCCCCCATTGGCCTTGCTGGTCGGAAGGTCGCAGAAGGGGATCACGTGATCCCAGGACACTGCCACCGTCATAAATACGAGTCAGTGGCCAAGCGTCTGAATGTTGATCACGTGACCACGGGGACGCTGCACTCTGAGTGTGAAAAACGGTCGCAAGTCCCCTTTTTTGCTGCCGTTGTAACTTTGAGCGGTCACTAAACAAAACGTCGTAAACCGAGGACTGGGTTTTTTTCTGCCTGGGCTCTCCCTGTCCCTGGTTCTCTCTCCAGCTTTTCTCCAGCTAGGCAATTGTGTGACTTTGCAGAATTTTTTTTCAAACCGTCTTAAGGTTTTGTGAGACTTGTTGGCGGGAGAAATTCGGAAAGTGAACGCAACCGATTTCGTCTCTTCGTCAGGAAAAATACCTCAGGACTCGTTTTCACAGATTCCACAGCTCGCCCACGTTTGAAAACCCATTTTTCACACATACAGACGCAAACAAACACACTCTATTCACACTCCTTCGGCAGGCTGTTGTTCTGCCAAGGCCCAGGCCTCACACCCACTGCTTCACACAGAGGCTATTAAATTCTATATCACGCCCCTTTCAGTATGAATAATATATGGTGCATTCACATCCCTGCTCCGCTCTTGAATTTCTTAATATTAATGCAAAATATGTACAACCACAGCGACACACACACACACACACCCCTCTGCTCAACTCTTCTGTTTTGTTCTGATTTGCACAAGGGTTAAGAGGCCCTTAAACCTTCAATCTGGGCATCCTTGCGCACCGGGTTTTGAAAGGGTGGATACTTATAGTTCTGTACACAAGGAGACAGTTTCTCGACCTTAGCCACTTGAAGATGGGTGGACTTCAACTCCCAGAATTCCCCACAATTGGTGAATTCAACCAGCTGTGCTGGCTGGGGAATTCTGGGAGTTGAGGTCCACCCATCTTAAAGTCGTACGGTTGAGAGACACTGAGGTAGAGCAGAGAAATCAGGAGGAATGTCCTAAGGGTGTGAGCCATCAGCTAAGACAAGGGTCTCCATCCTTGGCGACTTGTGAACTTCAACTCCCAGAATTTCCCAGCCAGCATGGCTGGCTGGGGAATTCTGGGAGCTGAAATCCACAAGTCTTAATTGGAGATTCCTGAGCTAGGGGACCAAGTAGACACATAGAGTGGTGAGTTTTCTTTCACTGAAGTTCCTCAAACAGAAGCTAGATAGGCCTTGTTAGCGATGTTTCCGAGCATCCTACTCTGCAGGGGGTTGGATTGGATGATCTCTAAGATAAGCTTCCGGTTCTGGGATTCTAAGGTTCTGCTAAACAACCCGTGACCGATAGGGTCAGCGTTCCTGAGAGATTTCCTTCCCTAAACTAAACAGGCCAAAAACATTGGGGGTGGCAGCGACTCGTTTTCCTGCAGGCTTCCCGAGTGACTTTTTTTGTGGGAAACTGGGAGGCGTGTTGGAAATCTCGTGAACACGGCTAACTGCACCAGCGTGGCAGTCAGCCGTGGTCACATGATTTCCAACACGCCTCCCAGTTTCCCACAAAAAAACAGTCATTGGGGAAGACTGCAGGAAAACGAGTCGCTACCACTGCACCAGCACGGCAGTATAGCAGCCCCGAAGCGGTCACAACTTTGCCACAATTCAATACCACGAGAGTCCCGGGTCCCACATTTTGAGTGCCTTCTTTAAGCGAGCTCTTTTGAGGCACGTCGATTCAAAAATCGTTGCCTACGATGCACCGTTTCGCCCAGCTAAAGGTTACAAACAGATACAAGAGTTTTAGTAGTATATAGCTGTTTAATAGTAAATAGCTGTCCACTCTGTGTGTTCACCCCCTCGTGCGTCTACATCCAGTCTCTGGAAACACGAGGCTATTGTGTACACACATCCAAAGCAATTTTAATTTTGTCTTCCCGGCAAGTTAAATCAGAAAATAATCTAAAATTACAGATCGGGATTCTCCAGGAAAGATGGAGTCAGCTCCGAGAGCACACGCAGATACGGAAGCTGGAGACGTGAGGTGGGATTTTTAGCCCTGAAGTCAGGGACACTTGGGCGAGCAAATTCACCTACGATCTGGATCTGTAAGGAAAAAGAAGAAAAGCAGTGGGAAATGAGGTCGGCGGGTTTTGAACCCGGGAGCGACCTCAGGAAGATCAAAAAAAGTCAAAATCCAAACTAGGCGTGTAAACAAGGGGAGGAGTGGCTTCCAGTGTAGCGGCAGGGCCAGCATTTGGTTATTTTGCACCCCTTCCTGGCATATGTCCCTGGATAGTTTGTTAGAGCAGTGTTTCTCTCCCTCAGCAACTTTTAAGATGTATGGACTTCAACTCCCAGAATTCCCCAGCCAGCGCAACTAGTTGAATTCACCAGCTGTGGGGAATTCTGGGAGTTGAAGTTCACCCATCTTAAAATGGCAAAAATCGAGTAAATAATGGTGGGGAATGACAAGAGTATCCATTTTTATTGATAATGAAGCCTACTAAATATCGATCAAGTCATCTGCACAGTCTCCAAACACTTCCCTCTCTTTCCTTCCCGTCTCGAAGCCAGGATTAAATCATTGTTCCAACTTTCAGGAAAAACTGTCCTCAGATTTCATTCCAAATTCAGTTGCTCGGACATTACCCCTGAATTGTATCTGAAGAGGGATGAAAGAGAAGAAAGGAGAGGAGAGAGAAAAGAAGGGGAGAAGGAAGTAGGAAGGTTGGAGGAGAAGAGGAGAAGTGGGGAGAAGGAAAGAGAAGAGGAGAGGAAGAAGAGGGAAGTAGGGAAGAGAAGAAAGGGAAAAAGAAGGTAGAGAAGAAGGAGTGTGGATACAGTGAAAGGGGAAATGGGCGAGCAACACCAAAAGTCATGTGTATGTATTTATTTCATTTTATTTAAAGCAGTGGTTCTCAACCTTTTTAATGCCGTGACCCCATAATACAGTTCCCCATGTTGTGGTGACCCCCAAGTGGGTGTGGCCACCAATAAGAGGGAGTAGGACAGCTAGGAAAAAGGGAAAAAAATGGCAGACAGCGTGGTTTGGCGACCCCCGTGAAATGGTCGTTCGACCCCAAATGGGGTCCCGACCCACAGGTTGAGAACCACTGATTTAAAGTATCTTATATATGAATGTAAAAAGAATGTATGTTAACATCTGATAAATATCACGGTATATGTATGGGGGAGAGTTTGGAAAAATAAAAAATTATTTAAAAAAAAAAAGATTTCATTCCAAATTCGAGTATATGGAGGATCAATTCCCCGCATCTTTCTTGGCTTCTCACTGCTCACTTCTCAATGCAGCCCCCAGTCCAGGCATCGCCTGGTGGCCTCCCATCCAGGCACTCGATCTGGTTTTGGCTTCTTCCAAGCCCAGCTGTCTCATCCGCTCAGCCAGCCAGAGCGAAACGAGCACCAATTCTACAAATTAATTTGATCTGCTCACCTTCTTCCGATCCCATCTCCGCCTGGTAGGTTTTGTACGCGTCCAAGCAGAAAATCCCAATGAGAATAAGACTGAAAACCTGTCAAAACAACAGAGAAGCAAAGCCTGGAGATTTGAAGAACTTCTCCGATTCGTAAAAAAACATTTTTCCCCCAAAATTAAGCCCAAATTTTAGCATTTCACTGGCATTTAATTCACACTGTGTGGGAATTTTCTTAGATTTGCCCCTGGGGGGGGGGAAAATTACAGGGGATTTGCGGCCTTGTACAAAAGGGGTTAAAAAAAATCAAGATGGCGGCCGTTTGACCAAGCTCTGCTCCTTCAGGTGTTGCATATAACAAATAAATATTTATAAATGTACTTATTAAATTTATAGGCGGCCCAAATTTGCTTCAGAGTGGAATGAGTGACATATATACATTCTCAGCCCAGCCCACCTCGCAGGACTGTTATGGTGGGGAAAAATAAAAGAAGGAAGGTGTGTTGGATATTGAGTTGCCTTGAGTTATTTAAAAATAATAATAAGGGTAGGATATGAATAAAATATAAAATAAAATTAAAATAATAAAACAAAATAAAAACGTCACATTAATAAAGCTAATGAAAGTAATTGAAAGAAAACAAACGAATAAGCTAAATAAACTAAACTAAAACAAAATTAAAATAAAATAATAAATAATAAAATAAAATAATAAAATAAAAACAAAACTAATAAAATGAATTGAAATATAAAATAAAATAATATAAACAACATAAACAAACTAATAAAATAAAATAATAAAATAAAAACATAACAAACTAACTAATAAAATAAATTGAAATAAAATAAAATAAAAATAAAATAAAATAATAAAAACAACATAAACAAACAAAATAAATTGAAATAAAGTAAAAAATATAATAAAATAAAACAATAAAATAATAAAGTAAAATAAAAACATAACATAAACAAACTAATCAACTAAACCAAAATATAATAAAGTAAAAAAGTAAATAATAAAATTAAATAAACTAAATAATAAAAGACATGTGTAAAAAAGAGAAGGAGGCTTCGGTTCAACAGGTGCAGCCCCCAAATGGAAATTTTCCACCCTCCCTCCGTGTGGGGCCAATCAGAGATTTGGAATATCATCTCCCAGAATTCCCCAGAGGCTGGCTGGCTGGCTGGGGAATTCTGGGAGTCAAACTCCCAGTGCACGGAGGCTATTGGGAGGAATGGCAATCACTCACAAAGGCCGACACGGCCGATCCCTCATGGTTGGTGGCAACAACGGCGAAGCCCACGACGATGAAGATGATGGCCCCACTGACGCACCGAAGGAAATCCTGCAGGTGGAAAAAGGCACCAAATCAGTCCCAAACTCCATTCCCAAGACCATCACAACCCTTAAAATGCTAGAAGAGGCGGGAAATTAGAGACCACATGCTCTTCAATGCCCTTAAGTGTGGTTCAGTTAACTCCAAGGCAATTTGCAAGGGAAGGAAGCACTGATGGACGGCAGGCACATCGCTGACCCTAACCCAGACATTTACCCACCAGGCAGGGCCAGTTGACCCGGGTCAGGCGTTCGTGATAGTACGTGACTCGCAGTGCCAGGAAAGTCAGGGTTACCAACATCTCCAGCAAGGCAGCGCCCATGTAGGCCGAAACCGAAGCCGTGAGCAGCAAGAAGACCAGGAAACAAAGGCCCTGAGTGAAGGAGGCAGAACGTAATGTGTGAATAGTCTTCTCCCTAAATCCCGAGTTGCAGATTTTTGTTGCAATGGGAGAACCCACCGTAAGAAAACATAAGCACCAGACAGATTATAACATGCTTAATCTTGGTCATTTGAAGATGTGTGGACTTCAACTCCCAGAATTCCCAAACACAGCCATTTTTCTGTGCCCCAGAGCCTCATCTTTGGGTTACAAATTTGGGCTACAAATTTGGAAGGAAAGAGGTCTACCCACTCCCCAGTTTTCCAGGGCCTTCCTGGTTCGGATGGGAGGGAATGATGGGAAGTGGAGTTAGAAAACTGCCAAACTGGGGGAGTGCCAAGGGAGACGGGGGGGGCAATAAAGATGGATTAATTTAAAAAGTCAGAATAAGCTATTGCAGAGAGGTGAGAACGGTGGAGAAGAAAGACAAGAGGAAGAATGGAAAACGAAAGAAGGAAGAAAGGAAGAAAGGAAAATAAAAAGAGAAGAAAGGAAGGAAGGAAAAAGAAAGGAGAAAGACAGAAGTGAAAAAAGAAGGAAGGAAATGAAGGAAGGGAAAAAGAAGAAAGAAAGGAAATGGAAGATGGAAGATGGAAAAGGAAAGGAAAATGGAAGAAGAGGAAGGAGGATGGAAGCAAGGAAGGACGGAAGGAAAGAAAGCAGGAGAAAAAAAAGAAAAATGGAAGGAGGAAAGGAGGGAATGAAAATGAAATGAAGAAACAGGAAGAAAGAAAAAGGAAGGGAAGAAGGAAGAAAGGAAAAATAAAAGGAAAAAAGGGGAAAAAAGGAAGAAAGATAAACGAAAGGAGAAGAAAGAACAAAAGGAAAACCAAAGGACAAGAAGGGGGGAAAAAATGGAAGAAAGGAAAACCAAAAGACCAGAAGGAAAAAAGGAAGAAGGGAAAAGGAAAGGACAAGACAGAAGAAAGGAGGAAGGGAAAAGGAAAGGAGACGAAGGAAGAAAGGAAAACCAAAGGAGATGAAGGAAAAAAGAAAGAAGGGAAAAGTAAAAGAGATGAAGGAAGGAAGGAAAACCAAAGAAGATGAAGGAAAAAAGGAAGAAGGGAAAAGCAAAGGAGAAGAAGGAAGAAAGGAAAACCAAAGAAGATGAAGGAAAAAAGAAAGAAGCGAAAAGTAAAAGAGAGGAAGGAAGGAAGGAAAACCAAAGGACAAGAAGGAAAAGAGGAGGAAGAGGAAAGGAGACGAGGGAAGGAAGGAAAACCAAAGGAGATGAAGGAAAAAAGGGGGAAGGAGAAAGTAAAAGAGATGAAGGAAGGAAGGACAACCAAAGAAGATGAAGGAAAAAAGAAAGAAGGGAAAAGTAAAAGAGATGAAGGAAGGAAGGACAACCAAAGGAGATGAAGGAAAAAAGAAAGAAGGGAAAAGTAAAAGAGATGAAGGAAGGAAGGACAACCAAAGGAGATGAAGGAAAAAAGAAAGAAGGGAAAAATAAAAGAGATGAAGGAAGGAAGGAAAACCAAAGGACAAGAAGGAAAAGAGGAGGAAGCGGAAAGGAGAGGAGATGAAGGAAGAAAGGAAAACCAAAGGAGATGAAGGAAAAAAGGAGGAAGGGGAAAGGAAAGGAGAAGAAGGAAGAAAGGAAAACCAAAGGACAAGAAGGAGGAAAGGAGGAAGGGAAAACCAAAGGAGAAGAAAAGGATGGAAGGAAAACTTGGCAAGCGGAGGGATGAAGGGAAAAAGCCAAAAACGGAGCACCAAAGGTGGGAAACGGTGAGGAGGATTTTTGGGGGGAGGGGGTCTCTTCCGTTACCAGCTCGACCCCCATCAGCACCCCCTTGGGCGAGCGCAGAAACTCCTTGTCCAGCGCGAAGCCCCCCTCCTCGCCGGCCGCCGGCTCCTGCTCGCCCATCCTGCCGCCTCGCGGGACTGCGAGGGGCGGCCGGGGGGTCCTCGGGGGTCCCGGGCAGCACCAGCAGCCGCCGGAGGAGGAGAAGGAGGAGGAGAGCAGCCGCGGATGCCCGGGCAACGCCGCGATCCAGTCCGCCCCCGAAGCCGCCCCGCCGGCCGCCCCTCGCCCTTTCGCCCGGCCATCCCGAGCCGGACAAAGGAGGATTGTCCGACCGGGCCAGGAGGCGACCAGCGCCGGAGAACAAGCGCCCGATTGTCCCGCCGCTGCGCGAGGAGCAGCCAAAGGACGCGGGGACCGGGACGGAGCGGCGGAGGTCGGCCGGCAGGCGGCGCCCGAGCGCAACGAGGAGTCAGGCGCAGCGCCTGCGCTTTCCCTCGCTTCCGGCAGAGGGCGCCGCTACTTTTATTTTCTCTCTCTCTCTCTCTCTCTCTCTCTCTCCCTCCCCCCCCCCGTCTCTGACTCTCTGTTTGTGTCTTTCTCAATAAATATCTATATCTATCTATCTGTCTCTGTCTATCTATCTATCATCTATCTTCTGTCTTCTATGTCTCTGTCTGTCTGTCTATCTATCTATCTATCATCTTATCATCCTCTATATCTATCTATCATCCATCATCTATCTATCTATCTATCTATCTATCTATCTATCTATCTATCTATCTATCATCTATCAGTTATCTTCTATATCTGTCTGTCTATCTATCTATCATCTATTTTCTATCTTCTATATCTATCTATCTATCTGCTAGCTAGCTAGCCCTCTCCGTCTCTGACTCTCTGTTTGTGTCTCAATAAATATTTATATCTATCTATCTATCTGTCTGTCTGTCTATCCTATCTATATCTATCATCTATCTTCTGTCTTCTATCTTCTATGTCTCTGTCTGTCTGTCTGTCTGTCTGTCTGTATCTATCTATCTATCTATCTATCTATCTATCTATCTATCTATCTATCTATCTATCTATCATCTTATCATCCTCTATATCTATCTATCATCTATCATCCATCATCTATTTTCTATCATCTATCTATCTATCTATCTATCTATCTATTTATCTATCTATCTATCTATCATTTATCTTCTATATCTGTCTATCTATCTATCATCTATTTTCTATCTTCTATATCTATCTATCTATCTATCTATCTATCTATCTATCTATCTATCTATCTATCTATCTATCTATCTATCTATCTATCTATCCCTAGCCCAGAGCTGCTAATAGACAGATAAAGACGTTCAGAACTTTTTAGGCTATAAAACAGACAGCAGGAGATTCGTGCTTTGAGGCTTGCAAAAATCTGCGAATGGACCCTTAAAATAAATTTAGAATTAGCTCATTTGATCTCGTTTCCAGTCTGGTCTCTCTAAGAAATTTGCCCGGGAAGGAATACAAGTTCCCTGCTTTTTAATTTTGTTATTTCTTTTTATTGCTTTTTAATTAATAACGAAAAAAGTGGAATAAAAAGCAGCAAAACGCAAGCGCAATAATGATGGAGATACATCGTCAAAAAAAGGGAGGGGGAACATATAAAAAGTCTCGCAAATATTTCATTACCCAAATGAGATAACATCATCCACATTAAAAAAAAAAGTCCTTCCACCAAATAAATTGAAAGAAAAAACAACAACAACAATACGACATGCCATCATAACAATAACCAGTTAGGATTCCCTGCCTCCTTGCCTAACGCAAATATTATTCAAATACACACGTATTTCTAATACATTTAAACCACTAACTCCTTTTCGATCATACGGTGCATTCTGTGTGAGTCCTGTATTTTATTATTATATTTTGGGTATTATTACACAAAGTTTAGCTATGTGGATAGTCCTTAACTTAACGACCATAACTGAGACTGGAATTTTAGTCACTAACAAGTGCCTGATTTTCCCGACCCTTTTTTTTGGCCACCTTGTCACGTGAATCCCTGCAGTCGTTAATTGAAACCATGTCGTCCTTAAGCGAATCTGGCTTCACGCCATTGACTTTGCTTGTCTGAAGCTGGCTGGGATGGGTACAAAGAGTGATCACGCGACAACACAATACATAAATACAGATAGTCCTTGATTTATAACAGTTCCTTTAGTGACCATTCAAAGTTATGACAGCACTGGAAAAATAACTCTTTTTCACACTTACGACCGTTGGAGCATCCCCCTGATGACGTGATCAAAATTTGGCGCTGGGCAACTGACTCATATTTATGACGGTTGCCGTCGTAAATGATAAACAATAAATGATAGCAGCTAATCAAATGCGGCGATTCACTTCAAAACCATTTTATTAACAACTGCAGTGACTCCCTTAACAAGAGTAGCCAGAAAGGTCATAAAACAGGGCAAAATTCACTTAACAACCATCTTGTGATCAAAATTCAGACGCTGGGCAACTGACTCATACTTACGACCGTTGCAGCAGCGTCCCGGGGTCACGTGATCTCCTTTGGTGACCTTTTGGCCAGCAAAATCAAGAGGGAAACCGGATTCACTTAACAACCGGGATCCTAACTTATCCAAGCGTGGTGATTCAGTTAACAACGGTGGCCGGAAAAGTCGTAAAATGGGACATTGAGTGACTTTTGCCCCATTTTACGATTTTCTTGTCGCCGTCATTAAGGGAATGGCCGCATTGGATGAGTTAGTAACCCGGTGGTTCAGTGGCTTCCCCAAATGCCTCACTTAACGACGTAAATTTGGGACTCAATTGTGGTCGTAAGTCCAGGAGGACGTGCAGATAAATATTCATTTCGCGTGACCCTGGGGATGCCGCGACGACGGATGTAAGCGTGAGGACCGCGGTTGTAAGTGACATTTTTTTTTCGGCGTTTTGGTAACGCTGAAGAATTGCTAAATGGTTGGTTTTGAGTCAAGGAATACCTGCTTTGATAATCAGTTCATAAGTGCATAAGTTCTTTTTTTTTTTAAGATCTTACAATTTCCTGCGCCTTGCTGGAGTACGTGGGAACCACGCAGGCGCAGGACACGTTAACCACGTAATTACGGGGCTGCAAATAGAACCAGCCTGGTCTGCCGGGACAGTGTTCCCGATAGAAGACAATCACGCTGTGTTGCACGGTGACCGAGTTGCCCTTCGCCTCCAGGGTGTTGTAGGTCCTCCGGTTGTGTTGAACAGAAGACTTGAAGGACAGGCAGTGGTCGCAGGAGCAGGACGCCTGCCAGAGATTCTGGGGGTAACGGGTTGCGCTGAAATCTTTCCTGGAGGGGAGAGGGGAGGAGACGGGGAGAGTTCGGTAAGAATCGCACTGGACCCCAGAAGCCCACCCGAAGTTGTGGAAAGGCTTTGCCCCGGTCTTCTGGTGGTCCCCTTTTCAAGATGGATCCTGTTCGGTTTTGTGGAGTGGACAAGGATTTAATGAAAGCAGAATGATAGAGGTGGAAGGGACCTTGGAGGTCTGCTAGTCTAACCCCCTGCTCAAGCAGGCAACCTTGGCTCTTTTATGACTCATGGACTTCAACTCCCAGAATTCCAGAGCCAGCATGAGGAAAACTTTGGCCCCTTCATGACTCGTGGACTTCAACTCCCAGAATTCCTGAGCCAGCATGAGGAAAACTTTGGCCCCTTCATGAGCTCAGCTTGGAAACCTCTCCCTTTTCCCTCAGCGTGGCTGGCTCAGGAATTCTGGGAGTTGAAGTCCACAAGTCATAAAAGAGCCAGAGTTGCCTACCCCTGCCCTAGACGATTCCAGACAAATGGTTGTCTAGTCTCTTCTTAAAAAGAAAGAGGAGGAGGAGGATAACAGAATGGAAAGGGACCTTGGAGGTCTTCTAGTCCAGCCCCCTGCTCAAGCAGGAGACCCTAGAGTTGGGGACAGAGAAGAAGAAATGGGAAGGGGAGACCAGGCCCCGGGCAGAGTTCAGGTCAGTATTTGTTCAAACCTGGCCCCTTTAAGATGGTTGGACTTCAACTCCCAGCATGCGCTGGCTGGGGAATTCTGGGAGTTGAAGTCCACCCACCTTAAAGGGGCCACGCTTGGAGAAAAAAAAAAAAAAAACACCACCGAGCTAGATTTAGTAGAAAATAAAATTTCAACAGCCAGTGAGGGCTTGTGCTGAAATCAAACCTGGTATTGCGAAAGGCTGTCTTAAGAAAAATTAAGGGACCTTTAGCACCCGACAATTGCTAATTGATAAATCTGCTTAGCCAACCGGCCTTCCCCTACCTGCTTGGCTTCAATTTACAGGTAGTCCTCAACTTAGCGACCCCAATTTGGAATTACAGCCTGAATTTCCCCGGCTAAAGAAGGCGGTTCGGTGAGCTGTGCCCGATCTTACGACTTATTTGCCACAGTTGCTAAGAGAATTACTGTGGTTGCCCTTTGCAAAGGGGGCTTGCGTGGCTCCCGGCATGCTGCAATTATCGTAAATACATGCCGTGCACCCCAATTTGGATCACGTGACCGTGGGGAATGCTGTGGCGGTCCTAAGTGCGAGGACCAGTCTAATTGGTCCATGCTTTTAGCTTTTTTTTTTTAAATTAAAATAATTTTAAATAAAATTCGGCAGAAAAGAGGCTTGGAGATTTTGTCAATGTCATGTGGTTTTTTTTTAAGTGGCACTCCAGATGTTTCGGGATGGCACTCAAGATGCTCAGATCAGAGGACCCCAACCTTTTGGGCACCAGGTTCTGTGGCGAAGAATTTTTCCGCAGACCGGAGTGTTCATGTGGTTTTGTGTCCTGCCTGCATCTTGCAGATGGGGTTTTGCTTGTTTGTGCAGACCGCTTGTTGGCATGCCGTGACCCGGTACCGGTCCACAAACCGGGGGTTGGGGACCACCGGCCTAGATCAGGGTAGGCAACCGTGGCTCTTTTATGACTGGTGGACTTCAACTCCCAGAATTCCTGAGCCAGCCACGCTGAGGGGAAAGGGAGAGGTTTCCAAGCTGAGCCATGCCGGCTCAGGAATTCTGGGAGTTGAAGTCCACAAGTCACAAAGAGGCCATAGTTCCTCCATGCTGGCTCAGGAATTCTGGGAGTTGAAGTCCACAAGTCATAAAAGAGTCAAGGTTGCCTACCTCTGCACTAGACCAGGGGTAGGCAACCCTGGCTCTTTTATGACTTGTGGACTTCATCTCCCAGAATTCCTGAGCCAGCCACGCTGAGGGGAAAGAGAGAGGTTTCCAAGCTGAGCCAGGCTGGCTCAGGAATTCTGGGAGTTGAAGTCCACAAGTCACGAAAGAGCAAAGGTTGCCTATCCCTGGCCTAGATCACTATTATTCTATCTTTGCTTTCTTCTGCTGCAGTTGTTCTATAAGTCGCCTCGACATACAACCGTTCA